CAGCAGTGTACCCTCAGTTACTTTGTCCCAACTTCTCAACGCGCGGTGCGTTCATCGCATCTCGCCAAACTTGATCGGTGTATAATTTTGCGGGGAAATAGTTTTTCCCGCTGAACACAGCACTCTCCAGGAACGCATCTACCGCGTTAAACGGAGTGCTTGCCACTGAGGTGTCACTGTTCCGATTACTTTCACGAGTACCCCCCCCCACCCCAACGATGCTCGTCAAGCTAACAGCCCCCGAGAGCACGATGCAGCCCCAAGCCGGGGACCGAAGCGTACAAGGCAAGCGGCGTTCAACCCACCGATCCCCACTAAAAGGGGATGTAAAAGTGCGCGCCAAACCAAATGAAAAATGAAAAAAAAATGGGTAAAATATTAAACAAGCGCCGGTGCCACCGCAAACCAGGTGACTGCATTGGAATATCATCCCGTCTCCCCACCTCCCAACAGAAGCATCAGACTGTGCAGTTAGTTCGTCATTTATTTCAGCTCGTCAGTCCTCCCCCCCCCGACCCCCCAGGACTCTCCAGAGGAATATTACAGTGCGATCTCAATTTAAGGAAGCGGAAACTCTGAACTGGCCTCGACTGGTCCTAATCTCTTTATCTGGCAGCCAGGCTCGTAAAGTACTGCCGGAATTCGAGATACTGGTGGGAAAGAGGGCTATGGTTAAGCCACGGGGTTGGGTCCTGTTCAACATAACAAAAACAATGATATAAATACATCAATAAATGACGCGTTGTTATTGTTATGATAGAGCGTTGTAGCAGCGATGGCATGCAAAGTCGTTGTTGCAGCGAAGTAGAAAATATAGGAAAGTTGCCATCCACGCCCATCCGCTGTCACGGGGACGTCCAAACTTTATTGCATCTCTGCACAGCACAATAGCCACGTAACCTTCCTGGTGATTTCGGATCCGAGCCAAGGTTCACACAGCGGACAGCAAAAGGCAAAGATCCCACCCCTGTAGCCGTCACAGGCGGGGGGGCAAGCGCTGTTCGCGAGCAGCACCGATGGAGGTCGGCACGGCACACGATGGGGTGGGTGGACAGGACCACGCCCGGCCGCCTTTGTCTCCCCAGTGGCGATGATTACACGCCGCACCAGGTACTCATTTGAGGCCGAGTCGACCTAGGGGAGGCCCCAGGACCGATTCAGATAATCGTCCCTGGTGCCGGTGGCCGCTGGGTTCGTAGCGCAGCGTAGTGCTAACCGCTGCGCCACCGCCCTCACCTACATCACGGGCCCCACCCAATGTCACCGTTAAGCGTTTTAATTTCCCACATTTGCACAATTGATAATAATCCACACGATTTCTTTGTTTTTAAACCTCCCCCCCACCCCACCACCCCCCGCATAACCATTAATTGTCTTGCTTCACGAAGCTAACGCCACGTGCGATATTAATCGAACAGTATGATTAAAAAAATAAAGATATTGCCTTACAAACCCACGGTCAAACAACCACCAGCGAGGAGAAACGGGAGTTAATCAAAACCAGAGTGGGACTTCCTCATCTCACACTTCACCCACACGCCGAACAGACAAGTAGACTCATCATCATCATAGTAATGCATGTGTCGTTAAGCCACCAACACCCGACATATCCAAACCAGTCGGGTTTGTCACGTAAACAAAAAGTGCCAATCAGTTACGACTTCAACACACCGGTGTGCTGGCAACGAACTGGCACGTTTTGTGTCGGGTGGTGGTGGGTCAACGACACATTTATACAGGATGCTTCAAAAGAAATGTTAACACTTATACGGGACTATCGTTTTTAATGGAAAAAGAATGGACAATACACTGTAACATAATAACATAACAAAATATTCTTAGTTCTTTCGGTAAAGTCATGTTGAAGGGAAACAATAAAATAATAAAATATATATAACAATAAAAAAATTATCACGTTTCGACCATAACACAAACGGTCGTCATCAGGTGTGTCGGTTTGCATAAAATTATTTATTTTAAAACGGTGTATTTATTTATAACATTGACTTTTCCAAGACAGAGGTTCTTTGCAAGCCATCTGGCTACCATGAGAGATTCGTTCATAAGGCTATCCACATATACAAGCACAGAGACAATTTCAACCGAGAAGATGGATTCTGGCTTAGCAATCATTGGAAAGATTTGATAAACCATTTCAGGTCTTAATTGATTGTTCACGCTTACAATGGCTTTCAGACAGCATACATTACATTTTTCGTCTCCCCCCTCCTCTTTTCAGACCATATATGGACTAGTCCTTCTAAATAAACTGCCAAATCGCTGCACGTGGCGCTAACGTTTTTATAAATAAATAAATACACCGTTGAAAAATAAATAAATTTATGCAAACCGACACACCTGATGACGACCGTTTGTGTTATGGTCGAAACGTCGTGAGAATTTTTATTGTTTTATATATATTTTATTGTTTCCCTTCAACGTGACTTTACCGAAAGAACTAAGAATATGAATTACTGCAGTCACGAAAGCTTTAAATCAAAATTTAACATAGCAAAATGTTTATATTTTTTATTTAAAGCTTTCGTGACTGCAGGGATTCATTTTCTTGGTTCTTTCGGTAAAGTCACGTAGAAGGGAAACAATAAAATAAAAAAATATATAAAACAATTAAATTCTCACGACGTTTCGACTGCTACACAAGCAATCATCATCAGGTGTGAAAACCACGGCAAGAAAAAATGAAAAAAGTGGCGTTTTTTTAACGTTAGCACCACGGAGAGCGATTTGGCAGAAATTCAGATGGACGAGTCCATCTATGTTCGGAAAAGGGGAGACGAAAATAATGGATGCGGTCTGAAAGCTACCGTAAGCGTGAACAATCAATTAAGACCCGAAATGGTTTATCAAATCCTTCCAATGATTGCTAAGCCAGAATCAATTTTCTCAGTTGACATTGTCTCTGTGTTCGTATATGTGGATAGCCTCATGAACGAATCTCTCATGGTAGCCAGATGGCTTGCAGAGAACCTCTGTCTTGGAGAAGTCAATGTCATGTGAGCCTACTGAATTATAAGTGATCTGCCACGGCCGAGGTGTTGGTCCTACCGTGTTTTAGGTCTGCTTTGTGTTCACGGATGCGGTCCGAGACATGTCGTTTGGTTTCTCCAATGTTACTACCACAGAGGCTACTTAGTTTGTAGACGCCAGGGTACTGTATGTCCGGAATCACATCTTTTACGGACGGAACCAGATCACGGATTTTACGTGATGTGTTGAATCGGACCTGGATCTTGTGTTTATTCAAGATTTTGGAGATTTTTTTTGTGATCCCCGCAATGTAGGGTAAAGTGATGGTTTTGAAAGGCTCCTCAAGAGGGTCCTTCTTCATGGTTGGAGTGATAGCTTTGCAGATTGTGTAGTCGGAGTAACCATTAGCCTGAAGAGCGTGGTGTACGTGCTTTAGTTGACTTGCTATGTGTTCTTGGTCGGATATGCATTGGGCTCTATGGTGCAGAGTCTTGATGAGGGAATTCTTCTGGGATGGTGGTGGAAATCCCGTTTCAGGTAAGCATCCGTATGGGTAGCTTTCCTGTAGACAGAGTGGCTCATTGAACCATCACGTCTCTTTTTTATAAGGACATCCAAAAAAGGTAGCTTGCCATCTTTTCCGACTTCCATGGTAAAAACGTCATCATTGTCAACACGTGCCTGGAATCTTCTCCAGGTGGGCTCAAGAGCCCGGAGGCAGCACATTTCTTATAGTATGGTTTCAAAATTCTCAGAGGTGTTAACAATTTTTTGAAGCACCTGTATTTACGCGACCGCCCGCACCCACCCTTTATTATGAATAATATTGGTCGTGAAAGCCTACCACTACATGTTTAAATAATAAAATGAGACTCTCTCGATACCCTCGGGATATCACACGGCAACCCACGGGCTGGTGATATGTTCCACACCGTGTTTGAACGTAAAGGATCGTTCCGAAGTTTTGCGCTGCGCTAGTACCAGTCATTCTTCATCAAACATACTTTTCAACAAACTTAACTGTGTCACGATGCCAGATGCGGGGGGGGGGGGGGGAGTTAACTGGTAGCACGGCAGGCCAGAAGGCTCTTGCAGCGGCTTGCTGGAGGGGTTGTTCCTTACAAAAAATGACGAGATGAGTGGGGATGAAAGCGAGTTGGCCAAGGCAAACTGGCTGGACACGAGAGACCGGTGGCCACGTGTACGGACGTCGCGAAAGTCACGCCGCCGCGAGACGTCACGTCTGGACGCACGTCATGCGTCACGTGGGCACGGCGTCACAACATCTGGGCGCGTGACGTCGTGCGTCACGTGGGAACGCCGTAAACCCACGTCACGTGGCCCGCCGGAAAATGTAATAGTTGAGAGGAATCCTAAACTTATTTCTGTAACAAGTATCCAAAGTTGTCGGTGACAACTGCCGGCGACGATTGCCATAGCAACGGGGGGGGGGGGGGGGGGCAACCGTGGTGCATAGAGCTTGCAAACGCCAGCGACAAGAGACGCGTGGAGGGTGTAATGGGCGAGCACCTCCTGCTGGAATTGAATCGCTTTGAGATCAGAACCTTTGGTTGCAGCGACTCCTCTGCGAGCGGTACCTATTAAAGATTCGAATCAAACCGAATGCAGTGGAGGAACGAACGCGCTTGGGAACAAATGCGCTGCGCTCGCGGGCGGCGGGCGGAACGCGGAGTTGGGCAGCACTGCGGTGAGTGTTCTGGCCGTACCGCGCATTGTTCGGAAACGGCGTCCGACGTTTCGCTCCACGTGCCGCGAGCCTCTATTTTCGGGAAACTACTTGCTGGAAACCGAAGAGGCTCCCGGCACGTGGAGTGAAGCGTCGGGCGCCGCGCCTATGACGTCGGATAGCCGCGTGGCGACGCGCATGCGCACCGTGGGAATCTAAACCGCGAGCAGCGGAACAAAAGTGGGATCGTTTGCGGTGTCCCTGTGGATCGTAATCCCGATTTTTACACAATGAACAAAAAAAATCACAATTGCCATCAAAACGGTGACACGGCCGTAGAGAAAGGGGCACGCACCCAAATGCAGGGTTACTTTATTCATGCACAAGCATCGGCAGAGAGACAGGAGGAAAGACGGGGGAGGGGGGGAGAGAGGCCGAGTTGCACGTGACCAGTCACACGCCGCCGCCGACACGTCCGGGATGTCCCGCACGCCGGGACACGTCCCTCACGCATGTACAGGACGTGTTCCGCACACCGGGACACGTCCTGTACACGTGTGGGATGTCCCGCACGCCAGGGCGCACGCGTGGCGGGTCATCGCGATGCGTTTGTAAACTGCAAACGACACCGTTAACTTTTTTTTTTTACACCTGTACACATCAAAGCTTTGGCCCAAAATATATACTGTGGCCTAAAGGGGTACCTTTAGTTATGCTTATGGAATTCACAACGGAAACACATGTCGAACGATTAAAGCAAAATTGACGATGGTCATTTACACCATGATGAAAAACCGTAGCAAGTTACATTTTTCAATTAGGAAGCGGATTTAAACACCGCCGCCGATTGCCGTAATATATCCGCGCCGTCTTGCTCAAGCCATGGGGCGTCTGCAGCAAGGTCGACATGCGCGCTTTGCGAAATTTGACGCAGATTTGCGAGCCGTTTCGAAGACTTAAAACGAATAAACTCGACTCCCCCATCAGCAACAACGGACAAGCGGATCACATTTGTAGGAGCCCTCCCGGACAGTGGATAACGGTGAACGTTCTGTACAATTTGCGCGTCCTTAAAACGGCGGCGATTGCACTCGACGGCCAATCGCCGATTTTTTCGTACAAGGGAGAGAGAAACTGCAACCATCAATCGCTGCGGATTCCCATCCAAAGGTTTACAGAGCGGAGTGAACCGGATCCGAGGGTTCTGGGATTAGGTCCCCGCGACGATATCCGGAGCGCACGGGACCTCGATGGGGGGGGGGGGGGGGGGGGGGGAGGGCAGCGGATCGTCACAACCCTCCAGCGGCGTCTGTGAAAACCTTCCCTCAACGTTCGCATCAAATTGAATTTGCTCCTCCTCTTTGGGTGTTCGCACCGCGACGTCCGTAACGGCGAATCGCGCGCAGCAAAGTGGGAGGGCGGGGTACCCTCGCACGTATGCGACAGAAACATTCCTGTCTCGTACGCAGGCGTTGTTCCATCGGGGGGTAGAAGCTAGGCCAATGTCGGGGCCTCCCGGCGGAGCGGGCGACACACGGGAGATGAAGAGAGGGGCGACATGGGCGGGCGCGGGACCGCATTCTACCGGTCGGTTTGCGATGCCGGTAACCTTTTTGTGTTTAGTTTGTCCCTCCCTTCCCCGCACCTAGACCTCCGATTAGCACGGTTGGCCACGTACAAAGCGAAAGTTCAACGTACGTCACCGGTAAGGAGCTCCATGGCCGGTAGCCACGGCGCGCGGGATGTGACAACACGCATTCAATGTTTGTCCGAAGCAATGTAAAGACAGAGGGCTCCGTCCTTACAAATAACAAGTTGCATCTGCCTACGTCGCATGCACAGCAACACCGCAGTGAGCGAGTGAACATGAGGCACGAAACGATTCACAGGCCCCACCGCGGTACAATAACGCGCGGAATTATACCGTGTACAAGTGGGGTCGCAACTCAAGCAGTTGTACAGAGAGATCGGTGTGTATTTATTTATTTAACAGTGGCGGCGAGTCAACGCTGTCTCCGCGAGTCTGTACAATCCAACGTGGATTTCCATAGCGGTCTACACGCGACTGCATCTCAAGACGATGTACACAACGGTTGGAATATTTAGCGGAGATGCGATTTGTCACGATGATCTGGAGGGAGGGAGGCTATCATTCAACTCGAAATGGCTTGGTCTCCACTACTTTCTCCATCTTGTTTGAGTTAAGTTCTTGTCTTTTTATTTGCTAAAGATTAACCCCACAAAGTTTGAGTAAACTGTAAGTAACGAACCCGTATACAACTTGTTAAATAAATGATTATAACACGGACGCAGTGAAGAGGGCTTGATCGATATTGAACTTGAGGATTGATACTGACGAATTGACTACACCGTTGCCGTGCTCGGTGTGTGTAAATATGTAATGTAAGTAAACGCAGTTAATAATAATTTATAATCTGTGGATCCACTGCTGGATGAAAGCATCCACCACCCGCGCCTGTGTCGTCTGCGTGCGGACGAACTCTCGCCTCTGACAGCTCCGACGGGAGATTTTTTTTTGTCCGACCCAGAACCAATTTCAAAGCAAAATTTAAAATAATCACACGAGTATGTTTTTTTACGTATATAATAAAGAAACCATCTGACGGTTATCTATACTTATTTTATTCTTTTTCATTATAATACTATAATTACATTCACAAATATTTTGTACAGCACACTATACACTTGTAGTCCGAAGGGGTAGGCAACCACTTTCCCCTTCCCTAGCAGTTGACCATCCATGCCAACGCAGGTCACTATGAACTCGACTACACACCCCACCGCAAAATGATCCGGACCTCGTATACCAAAGCCCCCCCTCCCCACCACCACCACTCCTCACCCCCCACCCTTTGTGCGTGACCACGTGATCAGACCGATTGAATGCGTATGTCACGCAGTCCTCTGACCTCAAAGCTGACCAACACCAGGCCAGTAATTTTTTTCCACGGAGGGGCCAGGGAGCGGTACTCTCTCGCCGCACGGCATTCCCTCGTTATTCACGACCTTCGGCGATCCGCGAAGTTGGCTATCCCCCAATCGCCTCGGGAACTCTGCACGACTACTGCATCGAGAGAGCAATGGAAGTGATGGGAGTGAATGTGATGAGAGTGAATGTGATGAGTGTGAATGTTGAGAGATAAAGTGATGAGTGCGATAGAGGGAGAGAGAACTTCTCGGACGCTAATTCATAACAAAGATAGGTATTCGTAGGCCAATGCCGTTAATCGCGACATTTGCTCTGCGCGAGCATCTCCGGAACTTATCCCTCGTCGCGGATAACGAGGGGACACTGCGCGTCAGAGGCCGCGGCGACGGCGACGACAGCCGCTGCTGCGCTCTTACATCACCCGCCGACGCGTTCCTGAAGCGGCCGCGTCTGGGCGATAGGGAAAGGGGATCTGGAGGTGGGGCTGGGGGGGGGCGGGGCGATGAGTAGCGGCGGTGACGGGAAGCACAGGAGGGCGCGGAGCGCACGGCGGCGCGCGAGCGACGGGCTACCGTCGTCGTCGGCGGTACGTCGGCGACACGAGGGGACGCTTGCCGGTTTTTCCGCCCAGACTCCTCCCCGCAGGGTCCATTTACCTTCGCCGTCTAAAAAGCAGCGTGCCGCTTGGCGTAGAGGATTCCGTGAACGTGGGATTCACATCACGGCCCACCCCTCTACCGCCGCAGCACCACCGCCACACCACCGCTGCACCACCTCATACTGAGAACGGCAAAGCCAAAACCGTGGCATGGATGGCGAGACAAAGGGCTGAAAGGAACGAAAGAGGTGGGTAAAAATTGTAAAACCACGATGATGGCGGGGTGGTGGTGGTGGTGGTGATGATGATGGTGGCGGTGATGGCAATGACGGTCATGATGATAATGATGACGGTCATGATGATATCGCTGACGCTACAATACTCCTGTAAAGGTCCACGGCGCTCCGTGACGACGTATCCCCCCCCACCCCCCAGCCCCCCACCCACCCCACCCCCCCCACCCCCCCGACAATCACGCCATGGGCCTCCTTCCTCGCTGCTGCTCGCCCGTTTCGGAATGGCCTTTGTTCACTCGTGTGAGGTTGTGGCCGGCGCCCGTCTCCGTCAGCCTGCGTGGGCGGGGGGGGGCGGGGAGCAAAAGGGGGGGGGGGGGAGGGGTGCAAAGCGAGAACGGAATCGGTGAAGCGATTCAGAATAAAAAAAAAAAAATTTATACTGTAGGAGGAATCCGATGAGCTATAAAGCTCTCTTCACAGATGTCCCAGTTAGGGGCACGGGGTCAATACGTCACAACAACAAACGTTACAACAGACACGGCAGTGGTGCCAAGGTTACAGGAGAGTCAAACAAATCACCAAAAAGCAATCAAATTTAACTTAACCATCCCCAATCCTACCAGGCAAAGCCCACCCCAAGCAATAAACTAATTTTTCAGAAGCAACCTGGCCACAAATGATAGCTCACCAAAAGCGACTTATCACACGGAAATTCATCGGAAGCAAAACAATAAAAGTAACAACGCTACACGAATCTGTGAAGCGCTTTACATTCAGTGGACCTCAAAAGGCTGCGGAGAGAAACGGCGGGGGCATGTTTGTGCTCGGGCAGCCGTTTCTTTTTTTTTTTCGAATTCGCATACCTGTCAACCCATACGGTTTACCCCGTATTCTCGTACGGGGAAATTCTGTTCAGGTCCATTTGGAGTACAGCCGTTTCAATACGGGCACAAAAATGTTTTTGTCTACTCGCATGTGTTTCGCCCTTGTGATGGGGACTTTGCAGGATGAGATTTCTAAGGGCACGGAGTAACGAATAAGGTCTGAATGTCTGTAATAAGGTGGGCACTGATAAGGGGTTGACAGGAGTTAATTCGGTAAAAAAAACCCTCAACATTTTGAGAACAGCAATGCAAGTGAATACGGGACGGTGGTCCTTCAACAATAACGATCAGGCCGCAGGGCCTTAAAGGGCCGCCTCACATACGGCTCCGAATACGCGGGTTGCCGACCCCTGTGCTAGAGAGACAGGTAATCAGTCATAGGGAGGAGAAAGAAAAATAAAGGCCTTGGAGCCTGGATTTGAATGGGGGCAGAACACCGACTGCCCATAGATCCAGCACTGCACCATAGACTCAGCACTGCCCATAGACTCAGCACTGCCCATAGACTCAGCACTGCCCATAGACTCAGCACTGCAGCATAGACTCAGCACTGCACCATAGACTCAGCACTGCACCATAGACTCAGCACTGCCCATAGACTCAGCACTGCACCATAGACTCAGCACTGCACCATAGACTCAGCACTGCCCATAGACTCAGCACTGCACCATAGACTCAGCACTGCCCATAGACTCAGCACTGCTAGACTCAGCACTGCATCATAGACTCAGCACTGCACCATAGACTCAACACTGCCCATAGACTCAGCACTGCCCATAGACTCGACACTGCACCATAGACTCAGCACTGCCCATAGACTCAGCACTGCACCATAGACTCAACACTGCCCATAGATCCAGCACTGCATCATAGACTCAGCACTGCACCATAGACTCAGCACTGCCCATAGACTCAGCACTGCACCATAGACTCAACACTGCCCATAGATCCAGCACTGCATCATAGACTCAGCACTGCACCATAGACTCAGCACTGCACCATAGACTCAGCACTGCACCATAGACTCAGCACTGCCCATAGACTCAGCACTGCCCATAGACTCAGCACTGCACCATAGACTCAGCACTGCCCATAGACTCAGCACTGCCCCATAGACTCAGCACTGCCCATAGACTCAGCACTGCACCATAGACTCAGCACTGCACCATAGACTCAGCACTGCCCATAGACTCAGCACTGCACCATAGACTCAGCACTGCCCATAGACTCAGCACTGCTAGACTCAGCACTGCATCATAGACTCAGCACTGCACCATAGACTCAACACTGCCCATAGACTCAGCACTGCCCATAGACTCGACACTGCACCATAGACTCAGCACTGCCCATAGACTCAGCACTGCACCATAGACTCAACACTGCCCATAGATCCAGCACTGCATCATAGACTCAGCACTGCACCATAGATTCAGCACTGCCCATAGACTCAGCACTGCACCATAGACTCAACACTGCCCATAGATCCAGCACTGCATCATAGACTCAGCACTGCACCATAGACTCAGCACTGCACCATAGACTCAGCACTGCACCATAAACTCAGCACTGCCCATAGACTCAGCACTGCACCATAGACTCAGCACTGCCCATAGACTCAGCACTGCACCATAGACTCAACACTGCCCATAGATCCAGCACTGCATCATAGACTCAACACTGCCCATAGATCCAGTACTGCACCATAGACTCAGCACTGCCCATAGACTCAGCACTGCACCATAGACTCAGCACTGCCCATAGACCCAGCACTGCACCATAGACTCAGCACTGCCCATAGACTCAGCACTGCACCATAGACTCAGCACTGCACCATAGACTCAGCACTGCACCATAGACTCAGCACTGCACCACAGACTCAGCACTGCACCACAGACTCAGCACTGCACCATAGACTCAGCACTGCACCATAGACTCAGCACTGCACCATAGACTCAGCACTGCACCATAGACTCAGCACTGCACCATAGACTCAGCACTGCACCACAGACTCAGCACTGCACCAGACTCAGCACTGCACCACAGACTCAGCACTGCACCATAGACTCAGCACTGCACCATAGACTCAGCACTGCATCATAGACTCAGCACTGCACCATAGACTCAGCACTGCCCATAGACTCAGCACTGCACCATAGACTCAACACTGCCCATAGATCCAGCACTGCATCATAGGCTCAGCACTGCACCATAGACTCAGCACTGCCCATAGACTCAGCACTGCACCATAGACTCAGCACTGCCCATAGACCCAGCACTGCACCATAGACTCAGCACTGCACCATAGACTCAGCACTGCACCATAGACTCAGCACTGCACCATAGACTCAGCACTGCACCATAGACTCAGCACTGCACCACAGACTCAGCACTGCACCACAGACTCAGCACTGCACCACAGACTCAGCACTGCACCACAGACTCAGCACTGCACCACAGACTCAGCACTGCACCACAGACTCAGCACTGCACCACAGACTCAGCACTGCACCATAGACTCAGCACTGCCCATAAACTCAATGATGCACCATAGACTCAACACTGCCACCCATAGACTCAACACTGCAAGCCCATTGACTCAATACTGCCCATAGGCTCCGCACTGCCACCCGTAAAGTCAACACTGCAGCACTAAGACTCCGCACTGCCCAGAGACTCAACAATGTCCACAGATAGCCCTTTTCATGATCACGTGTGCCTTCTGTTGCGGTGACTCATTCCTCGGACCGGTGCACGCCCTCTGCCATCCAAATCACTCTGTTCTTCCATAATATAGGTATTTCGGGATAGATCGTGTAAATATGTTTACATTATATAATATGTTCATATTTACACGATCTAACCCAAAAAAAACTCTGTTATGGAGAGCACCTTGAGCTAAGGCGCTCTCTACATAAATGTAAAACAGGACAAGACAGGAACGAAAGAGGGGCGCGGCACGTACACTTCATCACTGTCAGAGTCCTCGTCCGTGGGCAGGCGGAGGTAGGGGTTGTCCGATGCCGGGCGGAACCGGTACCCGGTCACCACGAAGAACACCAGCGTGGCGGCCTCCTCCATCAGCTGGAAGATGAGGGCGGAGATGTCGTCGGTAAAAATCATCCCCCCTTCCCCCAACATGCGATCCGACGAATCGGCAGCGTGTGCGGTTGCGATTTGGGTTTTCAGAATCGGATCGTGGTTTTGTTTCTTGGTCTCGTTTTTGCCGTGTTTCAACTCGGAGGATCTCGACGGATCCACGCACATCCGCAGCGCTTGTGTCGATCACTATGATGTAGGGGTGCGACGGTGGCGAGGAGATGTTAACTACCTCGCCTGGTATACAGGAGGTCGTGGGTTCGATCGCGATCCCGATGCCTGTATTTTTTTAGTTTGCGTGTCTCTCTCCCCGTGGTCGCGTGGATTTTTCTACGGACCCTCCAGTTTTTCCCCTGCGCATTTAGAATCAACGTCGCGTGTTTGGAGTATTTGGCCGCTGCTATAAATCTCCGCACGATGAGCCACTCCCGTTGAGGTCTCATTTGTGGCCAGGTCACTTCTGAAAAAGAGCTCCACAGCTCCGTGGGCCCTACCCGGTAAAATCAAAGAGTTTAGTTTCACGTTTAGTTTACAATCAAGAGGCGTGAGCAATCACGGAGAAGCAGGAAGGCGTCCAAGCGGTGAGCTGGAGCCAACAATCGCCCAAGCTTTGCGGTCCTCTCTACATACCAAGGTGTTATCGGCCAATGAAAAAGTGTTAACACGTGGGAGGAAACCGGATTCGCCGCACAGACGTTGTGAGAAACTCCATTTGCCGTGGATGGGCGTCAAGGAGCCGTACAGTGGCTCTGCCAGGAGAAGGCGGTAACAGCAAAGTTGCCGACTATTATCACCTGTTCCGTCTGTGTTTCCCCCTCGCACGTGTGGGTCTACTGCGGCTGCTCCGGTTTCCTCCCACGTGCATTGAAGGCTCATTAATTGGCTGAACACATCTTGATATACAGAGGACTGCAGAGCTTGGGCAACCACTGCCTTGCCTGCTCACCTGTGGTTCCTCCGCGACCGTGAGGCACGCAATCTGCACCAACGACGACGCCGCTTTGCACAAAACGAAAAACCCGATCATCATCGGGGACGTCAAGCGAGCTCGAGAACATTACGGGGCGAGTCGCCCGTTGGCGGAACGACACATTCCAAGCAAATCCATCTCACCTGGTAGAGCCACTGCCACTGGAATGGGATGGTGATCTTGACCATGATGGCGATGATGCGCGTGAAATAAATGTAGCAGATGATCTGGAGAGGACAGCAGCGCAAGGCGAGGTGAGAGAACGCACACACACAGAAGCATTATTCTTCACGTGGTTCACAACCGGCGTGCGTGCAAAAGCAGTTTATTGTCGTGCGCGTCTAACTTGAAAGCGCCTCGGCCAGGAACATAGCTTGTTGCTACGAGAGGGCGAGCTTACTACCGCCAACACTCGAAGGCATCGCCAGCCGCGAGAAATTCACCGCTGGAGGGCGAAGGCCTCGCCAAGTCTCTGCCGTCTCTCGCACGGTCTTGCGGTGCGACGATCCACCCGAGTGCGAGGCGATCTCACCGCTCCGTCTCTCGCAGTGCGTGGCCGTCCGTCCCTTTTTGGCTGCGGCTCTGTCGTTAAACTCGACCACCGGCCCCCACTGGAGCTGTGTGTACTTTTAAATCTAGATTCAAAACTAATTTCTTTAGAACTGCTTTTTGTGTTAAGTTTGTTGCCCTTCCCCCGCACCTCCGATGAGCACGGTTGGCTGCGTACGGTGCGAAAGAAGTTCAGCAAACATACAGTACATCACCAACCTCCCCCCCCCCCCTCCCACCACCGTGCAAGTCGTGACGTGTCCTGCCCGAAGCCCTGCTAATTTTTCTGAACTTGCGATTTGGAAGAGATTAGTGGAATACTTATATGCCCACCATCAGAGCAGGCACGTATCATCAACCGGATGCTGGAATAGACGAATGATTGTCAATTACCGCGTGCTGCCTAGCCTTTGCAGACTCAATGTTTGCGTGCGTGTGTGTGGAGCGGTGGTGCAGTGGTTGAGCGCGCTGCGCTATGAACCCGGCGACCCGAGTTCGATTCCCGCTCACGGCCAACATCAGTGAAGATTATTTGAACCGGTCCTGGGCCTCCCCTAGGTCGACTCAACCTCAAATGCGTACCTGGTGCGGTGTGTAAACATCGCCACTAGGGAGACAAATGCGGTCGGGCGTGGTGCTGACCACCCACCCCCTCTCGTGCACCGTGCCGGCCTTCATAGGTGCTCGCTGACAGCAGTTGCCTCAACAGTCTTAAGGCTATACGGGGGATCTTTCCCTCCGTGGAATGCGAGCCGGCACAGACGTCTAGTTTCTTAATGCAGCGATACAGCGAGAGCTGAGATTGTATCTCCAGCGAAACGTCGTGCGAAAATAGCCAAAATAAAATTCCTCCAATTTTGCGCGCAAAACCAAACCAATCTGCACATTCGCCCACGTCGGCGACGACGACTTGATGCGATTGGCCTGACTCTGTCGGGCGTTGGAGAGTTATAGTAATAATAATAAAAACGGTTTACATTATACCTACACACAGTGATGTAACCCAAAATAAACTAATTACAGCGGTACCTCGGTATACGTCGTTAATTCGTTCCAGAAGGGGTAGGACTTATCCCGAAAATGACGTGAATACCAAACACATTTTTCCCATAAGCAATAAAGGGAAAGGAAATAATCCGTTCCAGAGTATAAGAAATTATATTTCATATGGCATATTATACATTAATGGGGTTGTATAAGATAATCTAGACACTACTTATTATTAAAATGCATACATATATTAAAATAAAAACAAGTGAAAATTCACACAGAGTTCGAGCAAGGGTTGTGCACTGAACAAGATCTACTGTACAGGCAGACTGAGGAGCGGCGATTTGTTTCAGTCGTGAACGGGGTCTACGCGGGGATGCGGTGACTCATCCCGACCCATACAAGTTCTAGCAAGCGCCTCGTATCCCAAGCAAGACGTCGTATCCCAAGACATTTTTTTCTCGTCAAAACACGACGTGTACCAAATTCTACGGTCGTATACACCGAGGTATGACTGTATAAGTAAAAAAAGGATTGGTTGTGAAAGCCAGGTAGAGGTAAAAGAGACTTACCAGAACGTAATAATGCCGGAAGAGTTTCAGTTTTTCAAGACTTATGGCCGCTGCACACAAACAGGTGAAACATGAGCACACCTCAACAGTCAATACGGAAGATGTGCTACTGCCCCAGCCGCGTAACGTAAGTTAAACTTCTTTCGCACCTTACGTAGCTAACCCGTGCTAAATCGGAGGTGCGATTAGCATGGTAACGCTGGGTTTGCAATCCACCCGTTTGATTGGACGACAGAACTTTCCGCACATTTTGCGAGGACAGATTAAAAAAATGAACGTCCTTCCAAAAAAACTACTTCCTGCGCATAATGAACGGCACAAACTTTTGCCCCTCCTTCGTATCCTGCCGGGCGAAAGCATTCACACGATATTGGGTAATGTCAAAATACACGCCCGTGTTTTATGAATTCCACCAAACTGCGAACCATTTTTCAAACGTCAGGCTGTGGCGAGCCGGCCTTCATAGGCGCTCGCAAACGGCACTTGCCCCTACAGCCTGTTGAATGCTACAAGGGGGGAAAGCTTTGTCTTTTTTATATTTGCGTGAGCCACTCACCCTTCCCGTCGGTGTTGGAGGACTCCTGCAGGTGTCGGATGGACCTGTGAGAAGAGCAGGGGTTAAGAGAGTTAGAGTTGAGGACGTTTTACATCATCAGCATCAGTCACAACAAACCAATAGAGGCTTCAACAGAAGGCCCTGGATATCTCGAGCAGAGAGTGCACGGAGGGGAACAGAGCGAGACGAGAGGAGAAAGGTAGGAGAGTGCGTGGAGGGGAGTAGAGTGGAATGAGAGGAGAAAGGTAGGAGAGTGCGTGGAGGGGAGTAGAGTGAGATGAGAGGGGAGAGGTAGGAGAGTGCGTGGAGGGGAGTAGAGTGAGATGAGAGGGGAGAGGTAGGCGAGTGCGTTGTGGAAAGGAGCACCCAGAAAAAACCCACGCGTGCAAGGGGAAAACACTATCCCACGTAGAAGGCGCAAGTTGGAAGCCCACATTTTCGTTGCACTTCTTTCCCCTGGCGAGCCATGGTACGGCACACCTCCCTGACCGCCCACAGGAAAGAAGTAGTTTCCACAACATAAATTGAGTGCTCCACCAACCCTCGCCGCCTCCACAGCGCTGGACGATTAGAGGCTGCCATGTGTGGCGTGGCTGTCACCGTCGCCCGTGTGTGCGCGCGTGTGGTGTGTGTGCGCGTGGCGTGGCGTGTGCGCGGCGCGCATGGCGTGTGCGTGGCGTGTGCGTGGCGAGTGGCGCGTGCGTGGCGCATGGCATGTTGCGCTGTCACCAGATGACGGGGAAGAGGATGGCCCCGCAGCAGAGCAGATCAACGAGGAACAGCAGCTCCTTCCACAGCCCGTAGTCGCTGGAGCCCTGCTCCGACGACTCCAGCACGATGTACGCCACGTTTGCGAGCACCTATTCAGACAAACAAAGATTCCCGATCACCCCCCCCCCCACCATGTAGCCTTAACAGAGCGTCGGGAGCAAGTGCTGTTAGCGAGTAGCACCTGTGAAGGCCCACACGGCACACGACGGGGGTGGGTGGCCAACACGGCGCCCAGCCGCCTTTGTCTCTCCCACCGGCAAATGTTCACTGCACACCGCAGCAGGTACCCACATGATGCGGTGTCGACAAAGAGGAGGGCCTAGGACCGTTTCAGATAATCGTCACCGGTGTTGCCGGTGGCCGTGGGCGGGAAATCAAAACTCGGTGGGGAAATTAAACAAAACAGATTGCTGGGAAAGGGAGGTGTGGGGAGGGAGTTCCAGACTATAAGGGGGGCGGAGGGGGGGGGGGCGAGGGACGGGAGGGAGCTCCAGACGACGGGGTGGGGGGCAGGCAGCACACGTGGTTACCTGCAGAGGAATGACGACCATGAAGAGCTTCTTGTCCTTGTCAGAGAGGATGTGCTTGATAAAGGTCCAGCCAGTGCCCACCAGCACGATCGTGATGAACAGCAGGGCCCCCTTGAGCCTGCGTTGTGGTTGTCGTTGGCACGAGCAACCGGGCACACGGTTAGACAGGACGGCGTGCGTAAAGCCCGCGGAGCTAAGAGTTCTTTGTTCACAGGCGACCTGGCCACAACGCGTTGATAGCCCATCGGAGTGGCCGATTTCATCATCATCACACGTGAGAATGATTTATAGTGACAGCCAAATGATGTAAGCGCGTATTTGTAAACGTGGAGGGGAACAACCTGAGGAACCCTCGAGAACAATCCACGCGACCACCACAGGGAGAGAGAAAACACGGGGACTCCAGATATACAACAGGTATCGTCAGGGGGCAGGGATTGAGCCTGCGACTTCCTGCGTAGTGGGCAGGGGAGGTAACATCACATCGCCACAGCGGAGCCCCAAGACAAGACATGATGTGGCCAGAGATGGATTGGGATAAGCAGGGGGGCGGGCGGGCGGGCCGGCTACAGTGGACAACGCCGGTGTTTGCGACAGGCAGGCCAGCTGTACACTGTACTCACAAGTGCGTGATGTAGTAGACCACGGCCCAGCCCTCGATGGGACGTCCTTGGGTGGAGATGAAGTGGTAGTCGATCTGAAAGGCGAGCGACAGGACGCCGTTACAATTCGTCGAACCCCATCGAGGACGACCATTGTCAAGTTTACGGTTCGCTTCTCAAAGTTTAAGCGCCGTTTATGAGATGCAAAAAATAATAATATTCGATCCGGGTAAAATGTGTACGACGGAAAAAATGTTATTTCGCACTTCCAAGATAAACTATTGTACTCATGACCAGGATAAACATTCACACGTCCTTGATGGCTATGTTCTTTTTTCATACATTAACTTAGGACACAGCGAATGAGTAGAGAGAAATGAGTAACACGTGATTAATTCCATTAATTCACAGACAGCTCGATTTCTATGAAAACAATGCGTACATCACAGCACAAATAACGTTCACTTTATGCCAAATAAAGTGAACATTATTTTCTGCTACTTCAATTCAAAACCGGTGTACGATTGCTACTGCTCAAGAAAAAAAAGAGCGTTTAATAAAATGATGATGCCACTCACTGCGTGGAAGAGGAGCGACAGGGCTTTTGTAAAGACGAGCGTTGTCATCAGCCAGTGGATCTTGAACACGTTGGCCCTGCAAGGAACACAAAACATTCACTCGGACGACAGGGTGGTGGTGGTGGTGGTGGGGGTGGTGGTGGGGGTGGTGGTGGTGGTGGGGTTGGTGGTGGTGGGGGTGGTGGTGGTGGTGGTGCCGCTCCTGCCTCACGTCAGAGAAGGGGCCTGGGTTCGATTCCCGACTCCGGCGACTTTCCGTGTGGAATTTGTAGATTCCCCCCCCTCCCTCCTGTTCTGCAGCGTGCGAGTGACAGTGGGGAGTGGGAGTGTAGCATCGTGCTACGAACCCGGCGACCCGACTTCGATTCCCGCTCACGGCCACCAACACCGGTGACGATTATCTGAACCAGTCCTGTGTCTCCCCTAGGTCGACTCAGCCTCAAATGAGTACCCGGTGGGGTGTGTAAACATCTCCCGAGTGGCGACAACGACGGCCGGACGTGGTGCTAGCCACCTACCGCCCCATGTGCGGTGCCGGCCTTGATAGGCGCTGCTCACTAACAGCCCTTGCCCCAACGGTCTCATAATGCTATACAGGAGGTAGGAAATCTTCGTCTTGTGTGTGGAGTTTGTATATCCTTCCCCCCTGTTCTGCATGGGTTTCCTCCGGGATCTCCCAAGTTCATAATAATAATTTCATTTCATATAGCGTCATTCATGCAATTGCATCCCAAAGCGCTGCACGTCTTGTGTGTGGAGTTTATATATCCTTCCCCCCTGTTCAGCATGGGTTTCCTCCGGGATCTCCCAAGTTCATAATAATAATTTCATTTCATATAGCGTCATTCATGCAATTGCATCCCAAAGCGCTGCACGTCAATCATCCAGTTCCGTAGAGAGACAATGCAAAAATAAAACCCCCACGACTTAGCCTGGTCGTACTGACGACGCAATCCCAAATCACGTTTCGTGAGCTGGTCGTCACGTGGCGTCTGCGCACGCGCACCGCCGCCGGACGTCCCGCCGTCCCCACCTGTGGCGCCGTAGGACGGACACCCAGACGACGCCGGAGATGAAGAAGATGACCGCCATGCCGACGTAGAGGCGAGGCAGCGGGATTTCTCCGACAGAGAGGTAGCTGTCCAGGTTGAACTCCACCATTTCGATCTGTATAACCATGGGGCAGGCAAGGAGATGGCCAGCAGCAGACGTTGGCGTCTAGCTCCTAATCTTATCATCGCCGCACGCAGAGAACAGACACTGCGTGTCTCCTTGAGGGCCCCCCCCCCCACTCCGTGTCTTCTTAAGAGGCCCCCCCCCGGGGCCCAAGGGCGGTGACATCACCACCAAGACGAAAAATCCCCCCACCCCCATATATTCTGAACAGACTGTCGGAGCAAGTGCTGTTAGCGAGCAGCACCTGCGAAGGCCCGGGGGGGGGGGATGGGGGGAGGGGTGGTGCTGCACCTCCATGGTGAAGGGGGCGAAGCGCGCATCGCGCTTGCCGTTGTCGCAGTTGTGGAAGAAGAACGTGTAGAGGCCGGCCGCGCTGGCGCCCGCCATCTCCACGACGAACTGCGGCGAGGGGAGAGACGGCGGGAGAGAGAGAGAGAGAGAGATACCGCGAGTCACCAAACGATCAGGGCAGACAGGCGGAGGTTTCCGCCGGGTGGTGGCGGCACGGAAGGTTCCAGAATCCGGCAGCCCGCCTTGGCCAATACTGTGGGGGCGAGCATTGACGTCAAAATACTCCGTCCATTGGCGCCATATTTGGAACGAGCAGGCCCACCGTCGTGTGCGCCGGCATCGCTAGCAAAAAATTTTCCCAAGTCGCACAATCTCGCCGTGCCGCGGCGCCACGGCAGACGGCGCCTTGAGTAACGCAACGGCGGTGCAAAACGCCGAATGTACTAAATTGTTAATTATGAATGACCACCAGATTCACAACATGTATGTCCAGCCATTTTTTTTGTCAATCCGCTGCTGGAATGCGGGCCTCCCGAGACCATGCGGGTCAGAGTCTATTTGACCATACTTATACGCGTTGGTTCGTGAAGGCCGGCATAAGCATAGATGCGGGAGCACAGCAGTAGTATGGTACAACAATGGGTATGGCTGCACTGCCCTGTGCTGTCCACCCACACAACCTAGTAGTCAGTTACGCGACTGCTTTCAAACGCCACACGTGACCAACGCTATCGTGCGGCACGCATATATAACGTATGTATGTTGATCTTCTTTCGCAGCGTACGTAGCCAACCGTGCCAAAGGTGCAGATGAAGGCAGTTGTAGGGAGACAAAACGATCCCCCCCCGTGGAGACAGGAGCGTTGAGATCAGTTCCCGCATGACAGTGAGAGGGACGGTAGCGGCACTGAACTGCAAAGGGACGGCGGTGGCGAGGCGTTCATCCAGCAGTGGATAGACAATGGCCGATCATGACGACAGGATAGAACGTTCGATAATATTGGTAGAAACCTCCTGGTTACACCAGCCCACAGGGGATTATTGTGTCCATCCGGCCGTCGTGCATCCAAAAATGGGAAGGGTGGGGCTGGGTGGAGAGGGGAGGGGAGGGGCTGGGTGGGGAGGGCCTGGGGAGGGTGGGGAGGGGCTGGGTGGGGAGTGTGGGGAGGGGCTGGGTGGGGAGGGTGGGGCTGGGTGGGGGGTGGGAGGGGTGGGGCTGGGTGGGGAGGGGCTGGTCACCCCGTGGTGCCCTTATAAATCTCAACGTTTAACCAACTCACGCCGGCTTGTACCCGCCCTCACAGTCGGGCATATTTGCGGAATACACCACGTGGTGGTGCCGTTGTTGACCCTGGCCATTGACCGAGCAACCCAACGTTCCTACCAGCTCCCTCCGCAGGAGAATGTGTTTACCACGCGTGAACATGGCGAAAGCGCAGTGGACCCAACCGGTGACACAAACGTTTCCGTTAAAGCAACAGCAAAGACAAAGATCCCCCAGAAAGGCTTATCACACTTTTGGGGCAAATTCTGTTGTTAGTAGCAGCACCTATGAATGCCAGGACGGCACACGAGGGGGTGGGTGGCCAGCATCACACCGGGCCGCCTTTGTCTCCTCCATTTGAGGCCGAGTTGATCTCGGGGGAGGCTCAGGACCAGTTTAGATAATCGTCACTGGTGTTGTCCGTGAGCGAGAATCGAACTCGGGTCGCCAGGTTCAAATGGCAGACCGCTAACCGCTACACTCCCGCTCCCAACAAACACACACCAATACCCGCCATTCGCCACTAAGTGACGGTGATGTCACCACGGCGCCTATGCCAGGCCAGGTGCACTTTGAGGCCACGTGAAGTGTCAAAGGCTCGCTGACAGGAGGCTCACTGACACACATACACTGCTAAACACAGACACGCACAAGGCTACATACACACACAAGTACATACGCACACACGGCTACAGACACACACAAACTTTGAAAGAATCGCCACGGACAAACAGCACGAGTGGACGAGCAGCACGCGTGGACTTGCCTCCATGGCGTAGGTCCCGTCGGTTTTGTTGAACCGGAGTGGCAGCAGCTGCACCGCGGGGTTGCCGGGCACAGCCGGTTGAGAGTCTTTTTTCTCCTCCTCCTTCTTATCGTCCTTGGGAGCATCCTTGGGAGCCTCCTTGGCGGCGGCGGCGCCGGCACCGGGATCTTCCGCCGCGTCCTTGCCACCTTTGTCGGCGTCCCGTTTGGAAACGTGAGAGGTGCCCTTGGGGTCGGAAGGCACTTTGGCGACCGTCTGGTCGCCCTCTTTAGACACATCCTTCTCCGTACCGGAGGCGTCGCCACCCTAGAGATGCACACACAGACAACCCGTATAGCCTTAACAGACTGTTGGGGAAAGAGCTGTCAGCGAGCACCTATGAAACTGTATAACTATTAAAACTATGAACTATCTTTATCTTACCAGGTAAGGCCCACTGAGCTAAATTGCTCCATTTTAAAAGAAACCTTAGCACAACGAAGTGGCTGATCACGTGCAAATTTATAGCAGCCAAATACCCTAAATGCACGTTGATTCTAAATGTGGAAGGAAAAACCAGAGTATCCGGAAAAAAATTCCATGCGACCACGGGCAGAACATGCAAACTCCAAATATACAGCAGGCGTCATGGTCGGAATCAAACCCATAACCTCCTGCATACCAGGCGAGGTAGTTAACATCTCCTAGCCACCGTGGCGAGATGTCAGCGAGCACCACCTGGGAAGGCCTGAACGGCACACGAGGGGGTGGGTGGCCAGCACCACACTCGGCCGCCTTTGTGTCCCCAGTGGCAATGATTACACACCGCACCAGGTACTCATTTGAGGCTGAGCCGACCTAGGTGAGGCCCAGGACCGGTTCAGATAATTATCGAAGGTGTTGGCCGTGCTCGAGAATCCAATTCCAGTCGCCGGGTTCATAAACACACAGACACACATAGACACACAGACAGGTAGATACACACACACAGACACACGTAGATACACACACACAGACACACGTAGATACACACACACAGACACACGTAGATACACACAGACACACGTAGATACACACACACAGACACACGTAGATACACACACACAGACACACGTAGATACACACAGACACACGTATAGACACCCACCTCCTTCGTGCCATCAGCAGCCGTGTCAGCCGCTGCCCCCGCAGCACCGTCGCCCGGTTTGCCGTGGCTCGCGACCTTCACGGCGGCGGCCGACGGCCTCGTCCGGTTGTACTCGCTCTCGTTGCCGAAGACGCGCAGCGCGTCGCCCAGCGTCTGGTTGCTCGGGAGTTTGATGACGACGCTGCGGGGGGCAACGCCAATGAACGTTTAACCGGCGGTGCACGCACGTCGGTTCGGCCGCTCCGCTTGGAACCCCCGAGAACCAAGAGCAGTGGATCGATTCGGCAACTCGACGAGAGTTGGCAAAACTACGGACAGCGTGTTTCTCCTGCAGTGCGGTGGCGGCTGCGTTGTAATAAATGATATATTACGTAGAGTAAAGCAAAGTCCCCGATAGTTACACGTGAGATGCGTACGCAGGCCGAACGAAGAGCGAGGCACGCACGCGTGTGGGGTAGCGTCTAGAAGCATCTAGCAGCATCCCAATGCGATGACGCTACACCGAGGCAGCCGCACGACCGCTTATTCCTACTCGTGTGACGTACATCCGTTCGCTCGATCGCGTTACATCCAATTCGCGTTGTGAAAACAGCACGAGACGTTATAGCAGAACTCACTGCATTTTTGCGTGTTCACTTTTCCAAAATGCAACTTGGGGGTTTGTTTTTTTTTGAGAGGCACAGCCTGACGTGGAGAGCTGGACAAACAATCCGAATGTAGGTCAATGATTGGTCGGGAGAGATTGCAAATTGGAGGGCTCAAACAACAAAATCAATTATATTCACAAAGCTCTCAGTCAGATATGCGACTGCTGCCTTTTAAGGAGATGTGAGAAAAATGCGAGAACAGTATCTATTCATCGGGCGGAGAGAGGGGGGGGATATTTCATTGCGTCCGACTCGAAATCGGGAAACTCAACTAAAGAAATTGAGGTTACTCGAGCGGTTAATGGTAACAGGCAGCAGCATGGGACTCATTAAGCCAGCGGAAGTCTTCGACCGTCGAGAGTTTTTGAGTACCAAACCACGCAGCCCCCACTCTCTTTACGGAATAGCAACTAACGCGTTGACGACCAACACGCTTATGGGCAGCCGGCTAACCTCGTGACCTCTCACAAAGCGTGTCCCCCCACAGGACCGCTCCACAAACTCATTTCTTTAAAACCGATTTTTGTTGTGTTTATTTTGTTGTCCTTCCGCATGCACCCCCGTGCAGCGCGGTTGGCTACGTGCGGTGCGAAAGAAGTTCAACAGGCACTACACTATACACTACACTAGTATATACTACACTACTGTACACTACACCATAAACTACACAATACACTGCACCTCTATACTACAGTAAGAACTCATTTCTTTACAACTGCTTGTTGTTGTATTTAGTTTGTTGTCCTTCCCCCTGCACCGCCCGATTAGCGCAGTTGGCGACGTACGGTGCTAAAGGAGTTCAACACACATACGTAAACACAAACTGGAACGCACGAGTCGGATTTTGCGCCCGCCTTTGAAACGCCGCGGCATCTCAAGGCACCGCACAACAACAAAAACAGCCGCCATTCGCCACCACGGCGCCGGTGCCAGGCCAGGTGCACTTTGAGGCCACGTGACGTGTCGAAGGCTCGCCGCTGGCAAGAGGTCACGGGACAGACCCAGGTGCCGTGGGTTCACCGGCTGAGATTGCTGGCAGGTACACCAGCTGTGCCACCCCCGACTGTGCCGTGCAGACAGCGGTGGCGGAAGTCGCGTGACACCCATGTGGGGATTGACGCCAAAACGGAACAAAAATTAGAGGCCGCAGCGCGTCCAGCGGGCCCGTGGATCGCGGTCGCCAAGCGCCCTTGTTAACAAGACGGACAAAGCCGGCGTGGGGCAACGCGCGGCGAGCGATTAGTCGGGGCGGCGCCCCCTCCGCCAAGGAAACGAACCTGCTGCGCGCAAAGTCGAACGTGAAGAGGGTGACGGGGTCGTGCGTCTGTTCCCGCAGCATGCACCTCTCCACATCCGTCTCCTTGCGCGCGCACCGCACAAAGACAAAGATTCACCCCACCCCAACGCGTACAGCCTCAACAAGCACACCATTGGGGGAGGGGGGGGTCGGGGCAGGTGCTGTTGCCAGCAGCGAGTAGCACCGATGAAGGCCGGTGCGATGCACGAGCGGGGTGGGGCGACCAACACCATACGCCCAGGCCGCCTTTGTCTCCCCATTACGCACAGCACCAGGCAATGGCGGAGCCAGGATTTTCAGGTAGGGGGGCAACCCCTCCAGCAAAGAAAAATGAAATAATAGGAATTGTTAGCAAGTAAGGACCTGTCCCTTTCTTTTTATTCGACGCGAGTGCGGCGATGGCGCAGCCATCGATCGAGGGTAGAATTCGAACCGCGTTGTGTGATCGGCATCGCGCTCGCTGAAGGTGAATGCCTTCAGGGAAGTCGTGGACTGTATATGCAACTGCGCACAATTCTGAGTCACTTATAACTGCTTTGCCGTAACTTATTGCCAATTATGGGCTCAGACTATTGTCTACCAGTGGCACCAGGTATGGTAGAACCCCTCTCAACGACGGTGATTGGTTCCACGACACCGGTCGTTAAGTGATTTGGTCGTTAAGCGAGTATAGGGAATGCACGTTAAAGGCTTAATTCGTTCTGACAGCATCAAGGGTGACCCTTTTTCAACCAAAAAACGTACTTGATCTTATTTAAACAGTGGATCCTCATATAAAAAGATAGCAACAACATTATAAACACATTAAAAGAAACATGGTTAATCAATGCATTCATATTTACTGTACCTACAACAGCCTGTCGTTAACAGGGGAATGGTCGGTAAGCGAACACGTTGGGCTCTGTGGAGGTATTACACAACTATACACTACACTATACACTACACTACAATACACTACACTATGATACAGTCATTAACAGGGGTGGTCGTTCTACTATACACTAAACTACTATACACTACAGTAAACTACACTATACACTACAGCATTATACTGTATTGGGCTCTATGGAGGCCTGTCGTTAAGCGATTAGTCGTTAACAGGGGTGGTCGTTATAGAGGGTTCTACTTGTTCTCGAGTCCTCGCAAGAGAGCCCCGGGACCGGTGTGACTATTAACCGGTTATCGGCCGCGAGCGGGAATTGAAGTCGAGTGTGGCTAGGATCGTAGCGCCAAGCACTAACCACTGCGCCACCCATCTCCAAAGACAACTGTCGTTCGCCGCGAAGTGGCGGTGACGTCACCACGGCGCTTGTGCCAGGCTAGGTGCACAGACACGCACGCGCATAGTTAACGAGCCATTATCCGTGGACAGGTTATCGGGGTTGCAAGTTATCCGTGCCTGTGCACAAATAAATAAAATATATTTTATTAGGTCCCCGGGGCACCACCTGGCGCCTGGTGGTTCGCTCGTGGCAGTCACCACTTCCTTACCAGATAGGAGGACAGACCGTCGTTCTTGGCCTTGTAGAGGCTGAACCCCACCTGCAGACACGAGTCAGCGAGAGAGTGAGAGAGAGGGGGAGGGAGAGAAAGAGAGGTCAACACCACTTCAAGGCAGTGTCTTAACATGCACCTTCGAGCAATATTAATGATTTACAGCCATTTGTCAGCACCACTCTTGTACGAAGACATCCCCCATACCGTGTCGGTTATAGCAGTTTGTTTGGCCATACTTCACCACGCTGGTCATCATTGCAGGTTGGTGAAGGGGGAGAGGTTAAGGGTCGGGGGGGAGTGAGGCTCATGGCACGGAAGTTTGCAAGATCGTTCCTTCTCTTTCTTTTACGGCTGTCCTTTCTCAAGTGGGTGTAAAACTCCACATTGCCGCTCGGTCCTCATTCCGGCGGGGGGAATTCGGTGCTGGCCCAAAAAGTCAAATTGTCCCCCGGAGAATTCGCGCTGCTGCCCCACACATCAGCGGCACATCGGAGTGACAAAAAATATATACTCTTTGGTTCTATTCGGTAAAGTCACGTAAAAAACAACAAAAAATAAAAAAATTCACGACGTTTTGGCCACAACACAAGTGGCCTTCCTCAGGTGAAGGGACCAGACTGTCTAGAGGACAGCGCTGGAGTGAACACAGCCAAGCTCAGACCGCGACTTTTAAGCTGTGTGAGAGGAAGCAGAGCGCCTTGACTAAGGAATTAGCATAAACATTAGCAAAAAATACATAACCGCACAGTTGATACCTCCACCAACGTGGAGGACTCCCATCTACCAGGAGACTCTCCGTTCCATCTCATCCATACGATGGATCCAACAACCGCACTGCAGGTCACAATAACACACTCACTTATCCACCCAACCACTCATTCATTCAACTATTCAACAACAACAACCGCTGCCATTTGCCAAGAAGTAGCGGTGACGTTACCACAGCACTTGTGCCAGGCCAGGTGTACTTTGGGGCCACGTCAAGTGTTGAAGGCTCGCTGACAGGAAGTGATGGGACAGACCCAGGTTCCATGGGTTGATCGACTGAGATGACTGACAGATGCATCAGCTGTGGCCCCTCACTGTGCCAACTTGCTGCATTTTAGCCGCCTGGCGCTCCACTCATTGTTTTGAGCACTTTGAAATTCCCTCCCATCATCTCTTTTTCGCTAGTTCATTATTCTTATAAACTTGTTAACTCTAACTTTTACAACCGTGACAGCGCTACGTTGTTGCTGGCCAGTTGATATTTTAAGCCTTCGGTCCTGCACCCAGCAACGTGATGGCAACACAGAGACGCACGCATGTGTCACTCGTTCCTCCGCGTGCGTGCGTCCGTGCGTGCGCGTTCTCACCGACTTCTCCGCCGGCTTGGGGTTGCCCAGCTTCAGCAGCGTGAGCCGCACAGACAGAGTCCCTCCCTTCTCGTAGCCGAACGTACTCAACTGCACCTGACTCCTGGTGTCTTCCTGTTGTAAACATTCAAACGCACGCGCGTGCACACACACACACGCAAGCATGTAATATCGAGTGCAAGTTCAAGTGTTTTGTTTATCCAGGAGGGAACTCGAGAGGCCAAGAGAGTCCCACTGGCAACAGTGACCCGGGTCGCCAAAATGACAAAAATAGAAAGTAGTCGATCACCGATAATCCGGTGGCTCCGGGGGGGGGGGGGGGAGGGGGCCGGAGGGGGCCGCCGGATTTTCACTAACGCCAAATAATCACTACATCGTCGTTATTGTATTTTAGTTTATGTTTTTAGGCGTCATATTTTTTTTAGTGTTTTAAATGTGTTTACTATACGAAAGTGGGATAAATAGACAAAAAAAATTCGACTGTAAAAAGTTACTGCGTTTACTGGACCATACAGGTAGTTCCCGACTTACGATGGTCCGACTTACGATATTTCGATCTTACGATGGCGATAGCGATGACAAAATTGTAAAATGTTTTTAATTTCGCGCGGCAGGCAAATGCAGCAGCGTACGAGGTACGATACTGCACTTTATCATCGCCATCCTCCTCTTCCGACAACTAAGTTAATGTAGCCATCAACAACCTTAACATCGGTAAAGTCACGTAGGTAAAATAAAATAAAAGATAACAATTAAATCACGACGTTTCGGAGGCAACACAAGCTTCCGTGTTGCCTCCGAAACGTCGTGATTTAATTATTCTCTTTCATTTCACCTACGTGACTTTACCGAAAAAACACAAAAAGTATTAATCCTTGCAGTCACGAAAGCTTAAAATCTAGAACCTTAACATCGTTAAAGTATGCAGACGACGGACAGAATCTTGGTGAGTACAGTAGAATATGATACATTACGATACGTTCAATGCATGTATGATACATAGTTTGAGCGATTTCATTTTATGATTACCACGATACGATACATACGTTCAATGCATGTTAAAAGTTTTTTATAGCAGATAGGATTATTTCCTGAAAAAACTTTCTATGAAATTGCAGTTCATATAGGTAGGCTAAGAATTAACCCTGTTTTTTACTTTAAATTTTACTGTGCAATACAGTATTGTAATTAATAAATACATACAGTATGTAGTTTATACAGTACGGTACTGTAAATTGCTCTGTTTTGCTAAATTATCACCATTCTTTAAGACTCCTGGGTAGGCTAGGCCATCTTCGACTTACGATATTTTCGACTTACGATGGGGTCGTCGTAACGCATCTCCATCGTAAGTCGGGGACTACCTGGACTTGCCTCTCCAATCTCGAAGACTCTGCATGGGGTGATGTATATACGTGCAGTATCTTCATTGTTTTAGTTGTATGTAACTTAACACTGAACTCAAGCGTCGGTCCTTTTTTTGTCAAGCACACGGTGCCGCATTTGCCAGATCGGCCCGGGACCGCCAGATAAAGTTGGAAGGCGGATAATCGATGATCAACTGTACCGCACAAACACGAATTAACATTGAACAAAATATGTTTCCCCGTCACAAATGTCAGCTCGCACGTGATTTATTTTTATTTTACAGTGTGACAAAATCGACGCGAGGTGTTAAGCACTGCCAACGTCTTCTGAGAAAAATACAAAACAGACGAGACTTAAACAATTAAGTGCCGAATTGAAACGCGGGCGTGAATCGTGACCGTTCAAACCCCGACGATGACGCTTGGAAATGCCGAATTAAGCTTAGCATAAGCCAGAAGCAAACATCCCGTAAAAGACGCAACGCAGAAACTAACACTAAACTATTTAAATTTTACCAGGTAAGGCCTACTGAGCTATATCGCTGTCAGAAGCGACCTGGCCACGAATGATAGCTCAAAGAAATGGCTCACCACGTGGAAATTTATACCAGCCAAATATTCTGAAAGCAAATTTCTCAATGTGGAGGGAAAAAAAACGGAGAACGCAGAGAAAAAGCCACACAAGCACAGGGAGAGCATTCAAACTCCAAATAAACAGCAGGCATCAGGGTTGGGATTGAACCGACAACCTCCTGCATACCAGGCAAGGTAGTTAACATCTCGCGACCATGGCACCCCATCAAGAAGATCCCTGGCATCAGCTTTCCACGAAGCACATGGGCAACAACCCGAAACCGCATCCACTGCACAAAAACCATGGCAGCAGATGTGCATATTTCATGCACAAATGAAAATAAACAAATCTCTGGTACAGTAAGCGACTGCGGTCACCCCGGAACAGTACCGTGGAACACAGCGGCTCAATTCATCATCCACATCATCAGGGCGACGATTGCACCGCGCCGCTACTCGCGACGCGGCTCGTTAAACCACGTCCGCGTCACGTTACAGCCGTTGCTCTCCATCACGATTAACCGCGCCAAGAAGACGTCGTTGCACTGTGGCGTGGGACAAACATTAACATGGGCAGCAACACCGATACGTGCGAGCACTCCCCACCAGCTCTACCCTGCCCCGGAATTCGGAACAATGTCACGAGTCGCGGTCATGGCTTTTGAATTCGCGGTCACGATCCTTGTGCGATCTCACTGGCACCGTCCCCTCTTGTTTAGACTGCCGTCTGGGCTGCTGTGTGCACCGGCCATGTCATCGCACCGACGTATTCGTACAATCGGTGCCCTCTCACATATGTTCCGTCTCGCTCACAGTTATGTCTTGCGCTATTAGCCTAGGAGAAAAGAAAACACTTGACTTTGCACCAACTGTGAAGAGTTACAATTCTGGCACGCACGATTTGAGGAATGCACCACGAGCGAGAGAAGTGATATGAATTATCTCGATTGAAAACTAATTTCATTAGAACTGCTTGTTATTTGTGGTGTTTAGTTTGTATTGTCCTTCCCCCGCACCTCAAATTAGCATTGTTTTCTAGGTCCGGTGAGAAAGAAGTTGAACATACATACAAAATACAGTTCCGGCAATGGATGTTGCACCGCCCTCCACTGGTGCCCACATCGTATCCTGTTTACGGTACTCGCCCGGCACAAACGCTCGAGCGGTGAAAAGAAAGCCGATTTTGTATCATCATCATACAAACAAGTCGCATCCCTGAAAATCTGACACGTGTCGAAGGGACGGGTGTTGAGATTGTTTCTAATGGTCGAGCGTCCCTTGAGTTTTTGCGTGAACGCCGGCGGCGGTGGCGAGCGGCAGCCCACTATGGCGCTCCTTATGCGACACAGGGGTCAAACACCTTGAAGAACAACGCAACCATCAGCGAATGCATCGATAACGCAGACACCAACACGCTGCACTAGAACCATCCCAGCCACCAGTTCCAGGCCTTCCATGTCCCGGCTGCGGCAGGATACGGCTGCTTCAGGATCATCGAGCTTCATTGCCATCTGCAGCGGCATCATCGCCAGCAGCGATAGCCGCTTGTAAATACGTTTACCAACAAACGTTACCTTCGTATCTATGGACTGCCATGAGCATAAGCAAGGTGGTGAGCGGCACGTCGTCGTCGGGAGGCTCATCCCTCAGCGCAAGTCATCTCGCAGTCACGAGGGCTGCGCGCGTTGCACACGCTGAATCTCCTGCTCTGGTAGAGCACGTGAATGTGACTGCCCACTTGCAACGTTTTTTACCATGGGAAAAGTAAAAATAAAAGACTATTTTCTCAGTTATATTCCGAGCTGGGTGCACCTTTTAAAGGACAGAGAGAGACGCACACTCGGAGTTAAACTGAGAGGCAGGAAGTGGAATGTGTATTTGATAACGTATGGAAGTTCGAGGACATTGATTCAAGATGAGCAAGTGGGTTTGGGCAGAACGCATTTCTGGGGGGGGGTGGGATGATGGGCCGATGGTCAAGACCAATGATCGCAGTGGTGTCTCCCGTGTACATGGAGCGATGATATCGGCTCATGTATTATACGGCCATGCTCATTACACACAAAGTGATTGCCACAATTGAACCACAACACCTTGCTGATCTCGTCAACGAGCATAAACCATCACGCTAATTCACGGTCATCCTGGAAGCAATTTTTGGCTAGCCATCGAACAAAGATGGTCACCGCACTGCCAGCGTTCAGATTCGCTTCTGCGGCCGCCTGAAACGCTCTTCCTTCCGATGCCACTGGAGCTAAGCACTTTCAAATCTAGATTGAAAACTCATTCCTTTAGAACTGCTTGTTGTGTTTATTATGTTGTCCTTCCCCCGCACCGCCAATTAGCACGGCTGGCCGTGTACTGTGCGAAATAAGTTCAACATACATACACAAGTATGTGTAAAGGTGCTAGGTGGATTGTTACATCGCAAGACTGCGAGAGATGGTGTCGGCTTGGGAGGCCTTCATCTAGCAGGTGGATTGATAATTGCTGATGATGGTGAAATGGGGAGAGGGGGGGGGTGAATTATTACTCGCGTCTTCTTTAACCACGCTTGGGAAACAAAGGTTTACTTGTTCGAGAAAGAACGTTAGCCACACGAGACCAAAATGTTCACCCGCTAAAAAACTGGAAAAAACCGACTTGAGTAAAAAAAAAACACACAAAACGCATCAGAAGTGGGTAGTCGGAAAATCCGATGCTATTCTTGCACATGACAGCAGCAGCAATCTGTTCAGGAGCCAAACACCAACGTCGAGGGCTGCTGGCAATGACGAGAGGGCTTCAGGTCGACGACAGTCCCGTGTGGTTTTGTGGTTCCTCCTCTGTGGCATTTTTTTCCAGAAACAGTCCTGTGATGGGGCCACATATTTACATCTTTTCATGTTACCTTAAACACGCACAACTAAACCCCCCCCCGCAGGCGGAAATTGGCGTCGTTAATTCGAATCCAGATATAAACAGCAGAGCTGGGAAAACAAAGTCAGGAATTAAAAATAAGGTGAGAGCATTAACTGATAACGGATTAGATATTTACATGGCGTTAACCGCAATCTCAAGAAGCTGGTCAGAGACAGGGCAACGTTTGTCGCCGGTTAAACACGGAGGCTTATTCACCATAAAGGTTTCTGGATTAGACGTGGTTGCGTTATCGCTGCTGACCTCAACGCCGCAATCTATGCCACCCCAAACATTCCATCCACATAGGTGGGGAAAGAAAAAGCGGGGGGGGGGGGTGTGGTAGAGGGCGGACCACCTGCGATAGCGCGGGATTATTAGGCTGTGAAACCGTCACCGCGCCAACATCCTTGAGCAAACTGCGCACGAACCTGGTGATTTACCTGTACACACACTCCAGTTAGTCATAAACGCCAACAAATCGCCAACAAATCACCGCTGGTGCCAGGGTGCTCTCCACTCAAACGAAGTAGAGCGTATGAAATGCCACGCAAAAAAAAAACCACACAAAGAATCCCCGTGTAGCCTTTAATGGACTGTTGGGGCAAGTGCAGTAAGCGAGCACCTACGGAGGCCGGCACGGTGCAAGAGTGGGTGGTGGGCAAAACCACGCCCGGCCACCTTTGACTCCCCAAGTGCTGGCTGTTTACACACTGCATCAGGTACTCATCATTTAAGGCTGAGTCATCACGGGGGGGAGTGCCAAGAATGGTTGATATATTCGCTACTGATGATGGCGGTGTGGGGGAGACCCTCATCCAGCAGTGGACTGACAAAAGGGGGCAGTTACAAGCGCACATACTTAAGTTGACAACCCATCTGTCGACCTGTTTTGGATAAACCTGCTGTGACCTGTATGAAATCGTCTTTCACGTGACCTCTCTCCTCTCGACACGTCTGGCACGAACATAAAAAAAAAACCCTGGGGTGGTTTGTGAAGTCTTAGCATAGACACATTCCCCCACGACAGCATCAGCAACTATCGACGTGGCAACGGACGGCGGACGCACGAATGTATGTCGAACTTCTTTCGCATCGTACGTAGCCAACCGTGCTAATCGGGTGTGCGTAGGGGGACGGGGATCAAACTAAACACACGGCGTATCGTCTCTTGTTGCGTCGAGCGGGATGTGTACGCACACGCAGCGTTTCGGAGTTAAAGAGTCAACGTGGGCGGCTGAATAGCTGGAGGGCAGCGTGACCGTCTGCCACGGTCAGCAGCTAAGTGCTCTGCAGTTGCACTGTTTAAACATAAAACCTAACAAGCAAATTGCTGTACAGTGGGCGCCGAACGATTTGTCCCACCATACCCCCCCCCATCTCCATCACGATTTGTCCCACCATGCCCCCCCATCTCCCTAACAATTTGTCCCACCATGCCACCTCCCCATCTCCCTAACAATTTGTCCCACCATGCCACCTCCCCATCTCGCTAGAAATTTGTCCCACCATGCACCCCCCCCATCTCCCTAACAATTTGTCCCACCATGCCACCTCCCCATCTCACTAGAAATTTGTCCCACCATGCACCCCCCCCCATCTCCCTAACAATTTGTCCCACCATGCCACCTCTCCATCTCGCTAGAAATTTGTCCCACCATGCACCCCCCCCATCTCCCTCACAATTTGTCCCACCATGCCCCCCCCGCCCATCACCCTAACAATGTCACAATCCGTAATTCCATTCGAGGATGAGCGAGTGGGTACTGTGGCACCTGCAATGGATTCTGGGGTCACGTGACCCAATTAGACCCTAAAGCTTGCGATATATTTGGAGTTTGCGTGTCTCTCTCTCCGTGGACGCGTTGATTTTCCTCTGGGTCGTCCGGTTATAACCTTCGGTTTTTACCTCCACATTTAGAAACGTGCGTTTAAGAGAATTTGGCAGCTATAAAAGTCCACCCGATAATACGCCACTTCGTTGAGCTATAATTTGTGGCCAGGTTGCTTCTGAAAAAAAAGCTATATAGCTCAGTGGGCCTTACCTGGTAAAATAAAAAAAACGTGTAGCTTTTAGTTTAGAGTGGTGCCTCCTTACAATGATCCCATTTTTATGTGTTTAAAATAAATCCCCACTCGCACACAATTTTACAGTTTCCACGGTCTGGCATTCAATATCACCATGCGCCCCCTGGCCAATGTGGTGAAGTATGGTCACGAGAAAAAAACCCCACGACCGACACGGCGTGGAGGTGCCTGCATCCAGCAGTGACTAGACAAAGGGGCTTAACAATCTTAACATTGAATTTTTCCCAGTGCCTTCAACATTTTTTAATCGAGCTTTCTCGACTGTGCATACAATACAAATGGAAAATAATGGATACCTACCTCTACATACGAGCGACGGCATGTTAAGCTAAGGAATAAATATGAATTCACGGAATCGATGCATTTTATCCCTCGCGCCACACTCCCCCCAAAGCAACGTCTTCAATAAACCAGTCAACCGAGGTTCTCATTACAATCACGTACCGGCCATTGGCAGACAGGGTCTGGTGGCCACAGGGAAAACCGAAACAGTGGTAACACGAGCCCAAAGGATTGAGTTCACATTTTGGAGAGGTTGCCCGTACATAGGCTTCCATGTAAAATACGTAAGTGAATGGGGCTGTACGCCTTTTGGCATTCTTTGATCTAACACCGTTTGAGACGAGGCTCAAAAGAAAGCTGTCTCTGGTGTGGACCAATCAGTTTCAAAGACAATGCATATATTATCAGTGTTTTTTGTTTGCATTTTGACAACTATTGTGGTTAATGCAGAAATGATTCCTTGTAAAAGGTTTCAGTTTTGTGTTTTAACAACTTAACACATGTTTTGTTGCCAGATAAAAGGGGACAACCCTATTTTCATATTTTGGTACTGGCAAAGGAGGTCCCACGATGAATAGGGTTATTAACGCACGTGTACCATTCGATGAAAGTTAAGATTGACTTTTTTATATACGGTGCAGAAAATCGACCACGTTAAATTCACACTCAATGCAAATGCACGAAAAATGTATTTAGCCAAAGAAAAAAGGTTGAGTTACTTACATCCCTATGCCGTTGTACTGCTTGCGAGTGAAGGGCTCCCACCAAAACCACGTTTAGTCTTGGAGGTAATTTGGCCCATACCTCACCCACGCTGGTTCCAGTGCGGGGTCGGAAGGCCCAGGTCAGATTCGTAATGTCACTTCGCCACTGATGGTAGCCGTGGCCTGAAACTGAACTCTGGTCATCGCCGAGTTCACCGCTCCACTCCCGGATTTGAACAGAATTTAAATCGTGATCGCATCGTAAAAGGCCGGCACAAAAAAGTGTGACCCCCAACATCGAGCAGTGTTTGAAGATGTTTTTTTTGTTTTGTTTATTACAGTAGCGGTGATGGGGTATAGCGAATCTACAGGGCCAGAATGAGGGCCACCGAGAATACACTGTTGTTATAAGCGACTATGAAAGCAAATGAGTCCCTAAGGTGTCATACGAAGACTCGCGGTTGGTAGCACAGTGGTCTGCACTGCACTGCCCAATGAACCTCAATAACCCAATTTAATTCGCAAAATCACGGCTAACGACAGCGGCAGGAGTGATATCCGATCCGATCATGGGCCGACCTGCATTGACCGGCGCGGTGAAGTATGGTCAAAGCAACCCTCACGAAACGCGTTGGGTTTTGAGGACGTTCCACGTTCAAGTAAGATATTTCTCCTGCACGGTATCAATGCCGCCAGCTTGCATATGCACCCTTAACATCCACTGCTTCAAACGTTAGCGTTGTTCATACCGTTAAAACTATTTACAATCAATCGTTGGCGTTTAAGGCCACCTTTGGAAAATCTAACCGGAGTTGTGTCGTAATACCATCAACCACCCCACGCAGCCAAAATTAAACGGTCGGGTGGTGAACGAGCGTTCAGCGGCGAAGCAACTTTAATAGCCGCAGCTTGACCCGGTAAAAGCTGCAGTGGGAATTATCGGGAGGTTCAAAACCACCGTGCCAGCAGACGGAACCCTACCTACTACGACGGGAATAAAATCTTCAACTCGCCATTCTCCATTCGCCTGCCTGTGTCACCATCACCAAAGATGCCCCCCGTCAGAGCCTGTTGGGCCAAGTGCTGTTAGCGTGCAGCGGAACCTACGAAGGCCCGCACGGCGGCGGATGGGGTGTCCAACACCACGCCCGGCCGCCTTTGTCTCCCCAGTGGCGATGTTTACACACCGCACCGGGTACTCATTCGACGCCGAGTCTACCTAGGGGAGGCCCAGGACCGGTTAAGACAATCGTCACCGGTGTTGGCCGCGAACGGGGATCGAACTCGGCGCGGCCGGGTTCGTAGCGCGGAGCGCCGCGTAACGCTACGCCACCGCTTCCACACCAACCACCATCAACAACCACCCATCAACAACAACAACCACCACCACCACCAAACCACCGATCCTACAACCCTCACAAGAGTCCCACAACCGACCCGCCCTCACCCGCCATCACCGACCCGCTCGCTCGCTCACCCGCAGGCTGAGGTGGTGCTTGCGCGCCTCGCCGGTGCGCAGAGCAAGGCCGAGGAGCACGAGTGGCGCGAGGAGACGCAGAGGAGGAGCAGAAGGAGGACGACGACGATCACAGTTGCTGTTGTTGCTGCTGCTGCTGCTGCTACGACGCTGGCAAGTGAGAGCGGCCATGGCTAAGCGCCTCTCTCTCCGTCTCCCTGCGTCGTGTGGTGACGCGCAGAGAACGAAGCCCCGCCCCCCCCCCCGCGCGACTGGCTGCGCGAGCCCCACGTGACGGCTCACGCGGGCCAATTGGGGGGAGGGGGGGTAGCGGGGTTCAGGCGTCACGCGAAGCGAGGGTGGCCGGATGTGTCGCCTCGTGGGGGGGTTGGGGGTGACGTGGGGTTGGGGGGGATGAGGTGGTGGGGGGGGGGTGACGTTGGCGTTGGGGGGGATGACGCGAGGGGTTTGGGGGGTTGGGGGTGATGTGGGGGTTGGGGGGGATGAGGTGGTGGGGGGGGGGTGACGTTGGCGTTGGGGGGGATGACGCGAGGGGTTTGGGGGGTTGGGGGTGACGTGGGGGTTGGGGGGGATGAGGTGGTGGGGGGGGTGACGTTGGGGTTGGGGGGGATGACGCGGGGGGTTTGGGGGGTGGGGGGTGACGTGGGGGTTGGGGGGGATGAGGTGGTGGGGGGGGTGACGTTGGGGTTGGGGGGGATGACGCGGGGGGTTTGGGGGGGTGGGGGGTGACGTGGGGGTTGGGGGGGATGAGGTGGTGGGGGGGGTGACGTTGGCGTTGGGGGGGATGACGCGGGGGGTTTGGGGGGTGGGGGGTGACGTGGGGGTTGGGGGGGATGAGGTAGGGGGGTGACGTTGGGGTTGGGGGGATGACGTGGGGGTTTGGGGGGTTGGGGATGACGTGAGGGGGGGGGGGTGACGTGGGGGGTTGGGGGGGTGACGTGAGGGGTTTGAGGGGTTGGGGGGGAGCGGTGGCGCAGCAGTTAGCGCCGCCGCCGCTCGCCCCATGAATCCGGCAGAGGAGACAAGTTGAGAATCAGCAGTTATTATTTATAATAGTAATATTTATCTGCACTGTAGGAATCCGATGAGCTGTGAAGCTCTTTTTTCACATATGTCCAGTAGGGGCATGTCAGAATGTTAAGACAACAAATAATAAAAAAGACGATACTAGTGCAAATTATTGGCGAGATAAACAAATAACTTTAAACATAAATTATGTACAAATAAAACGGAGCTATATTTGATCTTACTAGGTAAGGCCCACTTTGCCAGCACAAGTGGCGATTATCTGAACCGGTCCTGGGCCTCCCCTAGGTCGACTCAGACTCAAAGTGGCCGTCCATAAATGACGTCACGCACCTAGGGGGAGGGGGGTTCAAACATTTGTGACGATGTGTGACGAAGGGGGGGGGGTCAAAATTGTCCAAAATCGCGTGACGTCATTTATGGGCGGCCCCATATGAGTACCTGGTTGCGGTGTGTAGTTAAACATCGCCGCTAGGGAGACAGATGCGGCCGGGCGTGGTGTTGGCCACCCACTGCCTCGTGTGCCGTGCCGACCTTCATAGGTGCTGCTACCCGCTAACAGCACGTGCCCCAAACGGCTTGGTATGGCTACACGTGGGATCTTTGCCTTTGGTGGTGGGGACGTCACGTGGGCGTCTGTCAATCCATCCGGTCTTACCTTGTATTCTTGTGCAGGGAAATTGAGTTTTCAGGCCCATACGGCCGTTTCAATACGGGCAACAACAACACAAAAAAGTGGTTTTGTCTATGTTTTTGTGTTTCCGCCCTGTTATGGGACTTTTTAGGATGAACGTTGACATGTATAAGGGCACGGATTGACCAATAAGGTCTGAATTTATCCGTAATAAGGTAGCGCACTCAGGGGTTGACAGGTATGTAGTAGTGTAGTGTATAGTAGTGTAGTATATAGTGGCGTGTATAGTAGTGGAGTGTATAGTGGAGTGTATAGTAGTGTATAGCAGGGACGTGCGGTCACGGGAGGCAGGGGAGGCAGAGCCTCACCTGTCATACTCCAATGGAAATAGCTGTCACGAAAAGTTTAAAAAAGAATAATGAAGTCAAATAAATATTAAGATTTTTCCACTGATCTGTGTTATAAATGCCATTTCTGTACGATTCCAATCATTTTTAGAGTCAAAATCGCCAAATTTGCGGAGCTCCGCTGCAAATACATGAAGAGACGAGAGGTGAGGCAGCGACGAGCTCAGCCTCCCCTCTGATTGCGCAACCCCTCAGTAACTGGATGGAGCGCGGGCAATAAGTGCGTGCCTGTTACTATCTCAGTGTCTCACCAATGTAATGTTTGTAGACCCTTTTATTTCATGTCCTCGCCTTCCATACTCCAGGTAACTTATTTCACGTGTGTGCATAAAGATATTTAGGCTCGCTGGCCTCGTCATGAAACTGCAATGAAAGAGCACCAGGGGAGGCAGCTATCACGTCTGCCTCACTGAGGGAGGCGTGTCTAACACGCCCCCCTCAGCGAGGACACGCCCCCTCAGTGAGGACACGCCCCGCCCCCCTGTGTGGCCACGCCCCCCCCCCCTCAGTGTGTGAATCTGGCTCTGACACTAGCCAGTGCCTCCCCAGCCATTGACCTCACCGCACTTCACTAGTATATAGTGTATTGTATAGTGGAGTTTATAGTGTAGTGTATAAGATGAACGTTAACATTTATAAGGGCACGGGGTGACCAATAAGATCTGAATAGATCCGTAGTAAGGTAGGGCACTGATAAGGGGTTAACAGCTATGAGTGCGGTGGTGGCGGACGCCCGATGTCGGGTTAAGATTGCACACAAGGGGGGTTGGGTGGCCAGCACCACGCCTGGCCGCCTTTGTCTCCCCAGTGGCGATGTTTACGTACTGCATCCCAGGTAAACGAGACTCATCCTGGTCTCTTGACTTCTTACCTGGTGAAACAATGAATATGAAACGTTACCGATTACACTGGTCTACAGCCAAAATGCTTCCGAAATAAATGTAGTCCATCTTGACTAATTCTGGGTCACTGAGAATGAAAATGATGCTTAAAGTTGTTGATTGGCTCTAGTTTTCAAGCTATGCTACTAGGTCAGTATATACGACCCTTGACTTGGGAATGGCAGAGGATAAGTGAGTTATAAAGGGAAGGGATCTCAATTTGAACCAGAAATGACTAAAATACATATTTGACTGGATTCTTGAATAAATCTATGACTGGGTTTGGACAGTACTTGCTTTTTGAGCAAAACAATGAATGATGCAATCTGAACCTGGTATTGCATCATGTATGATATAAATTGTATCATGTTATTCCTAGAAGTCATGGATGATGTAATCATAACTAGGCTTACATCCCTCTGCTGAACAAATTTCCCTATATCAGCTCTAGAAATCATAGTGTCGTGCTCTCTTATTTGTCAGTGTTTGATTTTGCAAAGGGACACATTTCTGTTTATCCAAAGTGAGCAGAGATGCCTCGTACTTGTGTGAACAAAGCAGATAACTTCTGCTATGTTTGTGGTGAAGTGACTTTTGCATCACAAAAGTGCAGTATAACCACTATGGTTAAGAAAGCCTATCACCTTTATTTTGGCTGCAAAATTGGAAATCAGAACAAGATGTGGGCCCCACACATATGCTGCAACACGTGCGCAACAAATCTTCGACAATAGTTGATCAGGAAAAGGAAATCTATGCCTTTTGGAGTGCCAATGGTTTGGAGAGAACCAAGAGATCATATCAGAAATTATTACAGCACTTGGGAAAGGTATGTCAAATAAGAAAAAGTGGACTGTGCATTATCCAAACATTCCATCAGCTATATGCCCAGTACCCCACGGAGAAGGATTGCCGGTTCCTCATGCACCAGAATCATTCTCACTTGAATCAGACGAGGAAGAGGATGAAACTTCTGGTCCTGAACCATCAAGGTCACATGACCCAGATTTTCTCCCATCCTCCTCCTCTGAACCACACCTTTAACACAAGGTGAACTGAAAGACTTTGTCAGGGATTTGGAACTACCCAAGAGTAAGGCAGAGCTGTTGGGCTCTAGCCTGCAGCAGTTGAATTTCCTGGCATGTGATGTTAGGGTTTCCATGTTCCGTGACCATCAAAAGGATCTTGTCCCATTCTTCTTAATGGAAGGTGATCTTGTAGTCTGCAACAACATCGATGGTGTGATGGCAGCCCTCAACATCGTTCATGATCCAGATGGGTGGAGACTGTTCATTGATTCATCGAAGATGAGTCTTAAAGCTATTTTGCTGCATAATGGAAATGTTTTGCCATCAATTCCAGTTGGTCAAGCAGTCCATATGAAGGAAACCTATGACAACATGAAACAACTTTTGCGGTGCATAAACTATGACCAACATCAGTGACAGCTTTGTGGCGATGTGAAGGTTGTTGCTCTCTTGCTTGGTCTGCAGACTGGATACACAAAGTACTGTTGATTTCTCTTGTGAGAGATTCCGACTACATCAAGGTAGATTGGCCACTCCGACAGTCATTGGAGCCTGGGAGGAAAGTGTTCAGCATCCACCACTTAAATTTTGATTTAAAGCTTTCGTGACTGCAGTGATTCATATTCTTGGTTCTTTCGGTAAAGTCACGTTGAAGGGAAACAATAAATAATAAAATATATAAAACAATAACATTTTCACGACGTTTCGACTGTAACACAAACAGTCATTATCAGGTGTGAAAACCAACGGCAAGAACATTTGAAAGAAGTGGCGGTTTGTATTTATTTATTTATTTTTAAACGTTAGCACCACGGATAGCGATTTGACAGTTTGTTTAGAAGGACGAGTCCATCTATGTTCGGAAAAGAGGAGGGGGGAGACGAAAAATTAATGTATGCTGTCTGAAAGCCACCGTAAGCGTGAACAATCAATTAAGACCCGAAATGGTTTATCAAATCCTTCCAATGATTGCTAAGCCAGAATCCATCTTCTCGGTTGACATTGTCTCTGTGTTTGTATATGTGGATAGCCCAGACATGGGCAAAGTACGGCCCCCGGGCCGTATACGGCCCGTTCAGCTTTTTAATCCGGTCCGCCGAACTTGGCCAAATATTATTATTAAATTGTTACCTTTCTCCTGTAATGCCCCAATTTCCCCATTAGACGGCGCTGTTTTCATGATGTTTGATCAGCCACGTTACGACATGTTTTTGTATTGTTCATGTTCGTGCAATTTGTTAAATTGCCTTGCAAATAAATGCTTTGCTACCTGTTAAAGGCCAAATCCTTTCATGTAATGATTTTTACATGTCATTTATATTAGTTCACACAAACACTCCATCCATCTGTTCCTGGCCCGGCCTCTCTGTCAAATTTTAGAACCCATTGTACCCCGCAAGTCAAAAAATTTGCCCACCCCTGGGATAGCCTCATGAACGAATCTCTCATGGTAGCCTGATGGCTTGCAAAACCTCTGTCTTGGAGAAGTCAATGTCATGTGAGCCTACTGAATTATAACAGTGATCTGCCACGGTCGAGGTGTTGGTCCTACCGTGTTTTAGGTCTGCTTTGTGTTCACGAATGCGGTCCAAGACATGTCGTTTGGTTTCTCCAATGTAACTACTACCACAGAGGCAACTTAGTTTGTAGACACCAGGGTACTGTATGTCCGGAATCACATCTTTTACAGACGGAACCAGATCACGGATTTTATGTAATGAGTTGAAACGGACCTGGATCTTCTGTTTATTCAAGATTTTAGAGATCTTTTTTGTGATCCCCGCAATGTAGGGTAAAGTGATGGTTTTCAAAGGCTCCTCAAGAGGGTCCTTCTTCATGGTTTCAGTGATAGCTTTGCGGATTGTATAGTCGGAGTAACCATTAGCCTTAAGAGCTTGGTGTACGTGCTTGAGTTCACTACCTATGTGTTCCTGGTCGGATATGCATTGGGCTGCAGAGTCTTGATGAGAGAATTCTTCTGTGATGGATGGTGGTGGGAATCCAGTTTCTGATAAGCATCCGTATGGGTAGCTTTCCTGTAGACAGAGTGGCTCATTGAACCATCAGGTCTCTTTTTTATTAGGATATCCAAAAAAGGTAGCTTGCCATCTTTTTCGACTTCCATGGTAAATCTGATGGCTGGGTGTATGGAATTAATGTGGTCGTAAATTGGTCTAGAGCAGGCCGGCCATGTGGCCAGATGACAAAAGTGTCATCCACGTACCTCTTCCATAAGGTTGGGCGCAGAGTGGCAGTCTGGATGGCGTCAGTCTCAAATTTCTCCATGAAAATGTTGGCTATAACCGGAGATAGCACCGACACTGAAAAAGGACTAAACTATGTAATATTTTTTTTCCATTTGTTTCATTTTTTTAATGTATGTAACCCTTTTGCTGATTTTTTAAGTGTTACATGAACAGGACAGGTGACATGTTATCATGTAAAGCAACCATAAACACATGAAAAGACATAGGTTTACAATTTATGAGTAAAACTTCACTATCTACACAATATACATTGACAAAATGTAAAAACTTAAATATCATGGGAACAGTAGCCAATCAGTTGTTTTAAGTGTCATATTTTAATTCAGCACATCAAAATCCATGACAGCACATTTCATCTCTGAAGCAAACGACGTCTAAATAATTGTAGACCAGTGTTACTGGACCTCTGTGAAAACTACTGGACATCTGTGAAAAAGAGCTTTGAAGCTCATCGGATTCCTCCCATATCAATAAATATTCTGATTCTGGTTAGACCCATGTGGACTAAACCGGTACAATGTGCTTGCTTAAACACATACTGCTGGATAATATTGGTCTGCGGCAGGTTAGAAAGTTACGGAGTTAGACTGATGGCCTTAATCTAAGTTGCCTTGTGGTTGTTGTTGTTGTTTGACTTGCATCCCACTGGGATTTTTGCACACAGCGTTGGTGTACGGTGCTTTTTCAGGAATATTTTGCTGTTTTTTCCTGGATTTTCTGTTTGCACAGTCACATAGTCACTTTAAGATGTTTTATTGTTCATGATTTAGTTTTTTGTTTGTTGCGGTTGCACCCGATTCAAGAGCCGAATGGCTCACAGGGCTATACCAAATAAATTAAACTGAAACACCTCCTCCTGCACCTAAGAGGAGGCGGTGTGCCTCTGTGTGCACCTAGCCTGGCACAAGCGCTGTTGTGACATCACCGCGGCTGTTGTATACCGATTGAGAGGAATCGATTCCAACAGATGGATGTCAGAAGGTGTTACAAAGATCCAGCTTTTATTATTATTTGGATTCGATTCGTTTTGACATTCCACGTGGTTGTTATTAGAGTAATATTTTTTTGGAATATCAATAATTTATTGGAATAACAGCCGCAATCTTCTGATAAAAAAACATTCCGATAAATAAAATATTCCGTAATAAATTTCGATTTAAAGCTTTCGTGACTGCAATGATTCATCTTCTTTGGTTCTTTCGGTAAAGTCACGTAGAATGAGAATAAAATAATACATTGATAAAATAAAATAACACAATAATATTCTCACGACGTTTCGGCCACAACACAAGCGGCCTTCATCAGGTGAAGGGACGAGACTGTCTGGTAGGACAGCGCTGGAGTTACCAGTCCCACCAGACAGTCTCGTCCCTTCACCTGATGAAGGCCGCTTGTGTTGTGGCCGAAACGTCGTGAGAATATTATTGTGTTATTTTATTTTATCAATTTATTATTATATTCTCATTCTACGTGACTTTACCGAAAGAACCAAAGAAGATATTCCGTAATAATTTTAATTTAAAGTTTTCGTGACTGCAGTAATTCATATTCGTAGCTCTTTCCGTAAAGTCACGTTGAAGGGAAAGAGCTAAGATTATTCCGTAATAAATTGGGCAAAAAAAATCGATCCATGAATCGTTAACATTTAAACTAAATATTTGGTGGTGTGTGGGGGGTGGGGAAATGGAATCGACTCCCCACGCATGCGCAGGGCCCCAAGCAGGCGGCGGGAGTCTCCGGATCGCGGCCGCCTCGCGCGAGACGCCGGTAACCTCGGAGCCACGAAGGAGGAGGCTGGTGGACGACGAGGTGGTGGACGACGAGGTGGCGGCGGACGAGGACGAGGAGGACGAAAGAAAACGAGCAAACAAGAGGAGGAAAAGCCACCACGGTGCGTGGAGAGCCCTGTGTGTGTGTGTTCCGTCCCCGAGAACACGCGGTGGGAAGAGCTTTCCTCACGCGCGTTACATTTCCTCGTCGTCGTGTTCTCCTCGGCATCTTGGAGGAATAAACGGAATGTGTAAGCGGCGACGGGTTTCGGGCAATGGGTCCTTCGCGTTCGTATCGGAGAGAGAAAATAAAGATCGTGTGGATGGTTACGATGTAAGAACAGATGGGAGACCGTGCACACACACACACAGAGAGACGCGTGCGCGCGATGTGCGGGGTGGGGGACCCTCTTAGAAATGTCACGGATGGACAGAGACGGTGAGTTCGGTAGCTCGTTCAACGTTAAGTCGGGAAAGCTTTAAACTCACTTTAATATTAAACGTATGCCCGTGCCCCGTTAGTGTATATGGTGTGCCTACAATGAGGGGGAAGGGGGTGGGGGTGGTCCGCAAACTTTACTATTCTGGCCTCTCTTGTGTGCCATGCAGAAGGACCATTGCCCGGAACGTCACCTGTTGTATTTCTCTATAAGGCGGAGTTAGCGGTGCTGGTGTTAAGTTCGCGTATTTGTGCACCGCTGCATATTGAACACTTATCAATCTACGCTCCTTTGCGATTGCATTTCCCCAATGCGGATAAGCGAGTTGCGCGACGTTCCAGGCCGCGATTGGTCCGCGCGCTGTCACGCGGGGTGCCTCGAGCCAATGGCGTGCGCGCTTCGGCAGCGCGGTGCTCGTGTGGACTACGATGTCTAACGCGTGTAGGCGAAGGCCCCAAACACTCAGGCGGCCAGCAACAGACGGCACTCTTCAATGTAATTCATGAGAAGGATCGCGCCTCTTGTATGGAGCGAGGTTGTCACAATTTGTCGGGAGGTGTGGGAGGGCGGGGGAGAATAGACCATGGGAGAAGTTCGCGGTCGGTGTATGGGTGAGAGGGCGAGCCGGTGGGTGAGAGGGCGAGCCGGTGGGTGAGAGGGCGAGCCGGTGGGTGAGAGGGCGAGCCGGTGGGTGAGCCGGTGGGTGAGAGGGTGAGAGGGCGAGCCGGTGGGTGAGAGGGTGAGCCGGTGGGTGAGAGGGTGAGAGGGCGAGCCGGTGGGTGAGAGGGTGAGCCGGTGGGTGAGAGGGTGAACCGGTGGGCGAGAGGGCGAGCCGGTGGGTGAGTATGTGGGTAAGTGGTTTGGTGAAGGAGTGAGTGTGTGGGTGGGTGAGTGTGTGCGAGGGAGGGAGTGGGTGAGAGAGTGAGTGGGTGAGTGAATGGGTGGGTGAGTGAATGGGTGGGTAAGTGGGTGAGTGAATGAGTCTTTAAGTGTGTGGGTGGATGGATGAATTGTGGGCAGCGGTAGTGTAGCGATCAGAGCGCGCCGCTCACGGCCACCAACACCAGTGACGATAATCTGAACCAGTCCCGGGCCTTCTGTAGGTCGACTCAGCCTTAAATGAGTACCTGGTGCGGTGTGTGTATAAACATAAGCACTGGGGGAGATGAGGCGGTTGGGCGCGGATTGATTATGGCTGACGATATAAAGGATGAACAATGCCACAAGCTCCTGGATGAGGGTCTCCCCACACCATGCAGGTCGTGCAGGGGGGTTATTTAACCATACTTCACCACTGGAGCATAGGCGTAGAATAGATACACAGGACAGCAATTGATGTTTCGGCACTGGCCTCTTGTTACCCGCCACACAGGACAGACACGATCAAAGTTACGGAGGTAAACACAACACGAACCAGTTAAGGTGACGGTGAACACTTAAGCATCTGACACCAGTGAAAGCCCAGAGAACAGTAATGACGGTATAAATAGTTTTCTCGTATGCGGTGTCGTTCATGCACAACGCATCCCAAAGCACTGAACTTCACGACGCCGGAGCGAAGATAAATTTTGGTCACCAGAAAATGTTTTACTTAACTGTTAGGCGTTGTTAATGACGAAGGCGGCAACGTATTTGCAGCTTCTCAAGTGCTGCCAACACACCCCCTGAAATAGATGCGATTTGGGCACTTGACGCATTCTGGGAGTTCATATTTGGTCAGGCAGTGACGTTGCGTAGTTAGCACGTGCCCTGGTGGAACTCTTCATCGCCCGTAGGCTGCCGTGCAATTACACCGCCTGCATACTCGAGAGCTACATCACCACTGCCGCCGGTGTAGGCTCAATCCATCATCCCTCCAGGGTCAAGGACATGAGCGACGCTCTGTGGGAAGTTGACAGAGGCTTGGTTGTGTTGACACTGCCTCCCGTTATGGGAACGTGGAATTTCCGCTCGCTGGTTTGAGGGCCACCAACGCTGAAGAGGTTCACCTCCACGTTTGTTTGTCACTTTTAACTCGGATTGCCATTGGTGCGCGGAGTGCTGTGTACTCGCCAGCGCTTGCTCGGAAAGAATCAAATCTTATTTGGCCGATATTGATGATTGTAGATCAACGGCTGTGACATCGATGTGGTTGAGCATGATAATTGTGTCGGGAGTAGCGGAGTGTATCCCAGTGAAAATGCCACCCCTGTATTTGTGAATCCGGCATTCGGTCGTTTTATGTTCCATGGTCTGTTCTTGTGACCACAGTCTCCGCACACTGTTGGGAGATTTTGTAATTTTCCATTTTAGGATTGAAATGAATTAGCAACACTAAATGTAATAAGAGCGTCGACTTGAGTAAGTCCAGCTTTAAAATGCTAGTTCATTTGCGTTAATGGAGGGAATGTTTGTTACATTTGATGTTTTGTTTATTTTCTAACAGTGCTGTGGCATTCAAGCAAAGACCAGGCCATCAATCATCACCTCTTTAAGAAAGAAACGAGCATCTGGGGAACGGTTCTGCTCTGACCGAGACTGAAGCAGAGGTGCAAGGAGACGCAGAGCGTGCGTGAGGAGGAGAGGGAAGGGGAGGGAGATTCGTGGAGGGACAGCAGAACCCCGGAGCGTGGGAGGAGACATGGCGTCTAGCAGCGGCACCGATGACGACCTCACCATCCCACGCGCAGCCATCAACAAACTCATCAAGGTCTGGCCTTAAGCTGCTTGGAACACTAGCAGCATGCACACACACACATACACACAGACAGCCGCTTGTGAAACGGACCCTTCCCTGCTGGGGCGTTGTGCCTTCAGTTTGCAAAAGATCCCAAAAATTCAGGTTGTATATGGACACGGAAATCTAACCCTGGCCCTAACCTCCAACTCTTAACCCGCACACATGGAGTTGAGAACAGGTGTTTGTTGTTGGGAACAAATATCTGTTCACCCAGTGGCACAAATTTTCGGGGGACTTGATGTTCATTTTGACCAGTGTAAGTGTCTAAGAAACGGTTTTATCCACTAGGTCAGTTCATCTGTTGTGTTTTCGAGTTGTACTGCGTGTTGTTCAGCTTGATGTACGTATGAAGTGATGTCCGGAGTTCTGCCTGATGTCTGACGTGCGCTGGGGGAACTTCACCGGTCCTTAGCTCCCAGCACTTGAAGCGGGACATCGGGACGTAGCTCCCAAGCGACACGCGGTATAACCCGTAAGCACAACCATGAAAACCTACAGAGTGGCATTTGTTCGTTCATGGCTTATTTACTCACCGTGGACCGTCTGGGTTCCATCCCCACCCCCCTCCTCCACCACCACCACCCGTCACCCTGCGAAGGAACTGCTGCCCAATGTCCGCGTTGCCAACGACGCGCGCGAACTCGTGGTGTCATGCTGCACCGAGTTCATCCACCTCATCTCCTCCGAGGCCAACGACATCTGCAACAAGTCGGAGAAGAAGACCATCTCCCCGGAGCACGTCATCAAAGGTGACGCCCGCAAATCGGGACTGTAGCGATTTTCTTCTGCTAAATTTTAAGTTTTTAGTTTAACCTCCTGGGGCGTCACGGTGGCTAAATGTTAACTACGTCGCCTGGTGAGTTCGATGCCGACCCTGATGCCTGTATATTTGGAGTTTGCATGTTCTCCCCGTGGTCGTGTGGATTTTTCCCTGGGTCCCTCCGGGTTTTCCCTCTACATCTAGAAACACGCGTTTAGAGTATTTGGTTGCTATAAACTTCCACGCGATGATCCACTTCGTTGAGCTATCATTTGTCGCCAGGTCTCTTCTGAAAAAGAGCTATATAGCTCAGTGGACCTTACCTGGTAAAATAAAAATAGTTGATGGTTATTTTTTTTTTAAATCAAAAGTCATCTTTTCTTAAATGCACGTGTCCCGAGCGTGTTCGGATTGTGCCGCGTGTCGTCGGGCACGATGTTCGACGTTTCGCTCCGCCCGCCAGAAGCTCCTCGGACCGCTGTACGGCACAGCCTAGAAATCCCCACGTGGTAGCGTAGTTATCGGGGTAGGTCTGCGAGCATCGCGACATGTCCTGACGTGTTGCTGCCCCTCCCCTCCACCACCACCCTCGCGCTCAGCGTTGGAGAGCCTGGGGTTCGGCGCCTACATAGGCGAGGTGAAGGCCGTGCTGCAGGAGTGCAAGACGGTGGCGCTTAAGCGGCGCAAAGGCAGCTCGCGCCTCGAAAACCTCGGCATACCCGAGGAGGAGCTCCTGCGCCAGCAGCAGGAGCTCTTCGCCAAGGTACGGTGATGAGCGTGTACACGTGTGTGTGTGTGTGTGTGCGCGGGGAGCGGTCGTGTCGCGGTTAGCACGCCGCGCCTCAAATCCGGCAACTCGAGTTCGATGCCCACTCGTGGCCTACACCAGTGACGAATATCTGAACCAGTCCTGGGCCTCCCCTCAGTTGACTCGGTCTCAAACGAGTACCTGGTAAAATGCGTGAACATCGCCATGAGAGAGACACAAAGGTGGTCGGGTGTGGTGCTGGCCAGCCACCCCCTCGTGTGCCGTGCCAGCCTTCATAGGTGCTGTCTAACAGCTCTTGCCCCAACAGTCTGGTGCAGGTAAGTAGGCAGGCAGGCATAAACACAAAATACCTATTTTTTCCCCTGACACATCTGAGCCAAGACAGCCCAAATCCCTCACGGGGATGGGCGGTGTTCCACTGTAAATTTTTGCCGAGCCTAGCCGGAACCAAACCGTGATTCACGAAGACATCTGAATCCGGCTCGAGGCCAAGCAGGGCCAGGGGTGCTGCTAACAACGCGTTCGTTGCGCATGATGTCAATCGGTACGCCGTGAGGACACGGCATCGCCGCATCACGTTACGCACGTTTCGAGTCGTTCGCTGCGTGTGATGTCAGCGGCACAGCTCTGCGTCTGCAGTGGAAAAAACAACCTGACAACCAACATAGGTAATTGGTCACTGCCTCGGAAAGCATTATTTAAGGGAACGTGTTGAGTTGTTTTGTAATTTAAAAAAGAATTATTCGGCAGTGACCAATTACCTCTGTGCCCCCGTTCTCGTGTGGTCGTGTAGGCAAGACAGCAGCAGGCGGAGATTGAGCAGCAGCAGTGGCTTCAGATGCAGCAGGCGGCTCTGCAGGCGCAGCAGGCAGCCGCGAGCAGTGCGGCAGCCACCCAACCGGGGTCCTCGCAGGGGGACGACGACGATGACATGTGATTGGTTGAAAAGTGTTACGGTCGCTTGCATACGTGTGTGCGCGCGTGCGGCATGTGTGTGTGTGTGCGTGAGAGTGCGTGTGTGTGTGTGCATTTACTGGTATAAACTCAGATCGTAATACAGGACACGGTGCGTTCTGGGTCTGCAGCCTCCAACTCGATAATGGCAGGTTTAAGAAGGAGAAGCTGTGAGCAACGATGGATCGCTCTACACTAAAAACCCGCGCGATCGTGCGATGGCGGGTTCTTTTTAACGACGCAGCGGAGGGAGGCGTCAAAAGGGGGGAGCCAGGGGGAGTGGGATGGGGTGTTGGGAGAGGGCGCCGTTTGCTTGAGTTCGAATTACTCGAGGGTATCCGCGGGTTGTCTTGTTTAGCTCTCCCCCCCCGTGTTCTCGGGTTCTGCGTCTCGTTTGACACGTGACGTCTCGGACATTTCCTTCCACCTGCCGGAGGCGCCTTTGGAAGACTTTAATTCACCTCGTGAAGAAGCTTCCCCCCCCCCACCTCTCCTTCCCCAGCACGTGTCGCGAAACATCGGACATCGTGCCGAACAAAAAGCGTGGCACAGCCCGAAAGCGCACGGGAGAGAGCGCTGTGGGTTCAAATGGCCCACTCATTGAGTGTTATCGGAGGGTGTTAATGCTGCTGCTAAGGTGAATTCCTCCGATAGCGTTGAATGCGCATGAGCATTCGGCCAACTGACGGAGCAAGAGAAAAATCGCGCAGAGGCCTTTGGGTTACTTGGGCGACGTTTGCCCGACACGGAACTTTCGCGCCAAGACTCGTCCGTTCATTTATACGAGGAAAGAACTTATTTAAGAGTTTTATGATGTTTTAACTTTTTGATCCGACTGTAATATTAAAACTGTGGGCTTTTTTAATGCACCTCGCAGTGTCGTACAAACGTAATCACTGGAGAGCGAGGTGACGGCTGCGGTGTTTCTAGGTGTCTACTCATTCACAATGCTGAATATAGTTTGTTTTAGTTCCGCCCCCACCCCACCCCAACCCCACAACCTCGTCCGTCACCATGTTTCATTTTCCAGTATTGTCAGGCAATAAACGATGTTGAACGTGTGTTACCGCGCGGGCGAAACGCGCCGGAGACTGTGGTAAGGATTCGTACATCCATCGATTAGTATTCGATCCTCGAGCTCGCGAGCCGGCGTGCGATGAATCGCGCGTGTCGTCGTCCCGTTCGCGCGCCCCCGCGTGCCACGGCCACCGCCGCCACCTTTGCGACCACCAAATGCCGCTTTTGACCATTTACCGCAATCGTGCGGCGAAAAATATATTTTGGAGTTCAATAAGCGGCGGCGAGCTGCGACAATTCACAGATTCGCTCGCGGGGTTGAATTCTTACGTCCCTTGTGCACACTGGAAGGTGTATAGCATTGTCTGACCTTTGATCAAATTAACCGTGTCCTTCACTCATTGTGAAAGACATTAAAGACTCGTGTGCGATCATCCCAGCCACTTTGATTGTAAAAAGGCGCATCTCGGTACAAAAGTGTTCGTTTTGCCAAATATTTATCGAGGGCTTCGTGGCGTGCACAATGAGAAGATCCACTCGACGTTACTGTTAAACGTGTTGCAATCCGTTTGAAATCGAGGTTTGCCGTCTGCGTACGCGATGTAACAATGTCTTGATAGCTGATCAAGAAATGGCCCTGATACAGTCCTTGTGACGTTACTCGCACTTACAATCCAATTATTCACCTTTTTGAACACGGGGCAGGAGTCGGTGCAAAGGGCGATGGTCTTTTATGCATTTCACGAATGCTGTTGAATAGTTGGAAGGATGTTGATTGTGGCTGATGATTGGTGACCGGCTTGAGTCCAACAACTTTGTACATGCGAGAACCTTTACGTGTATGTATGTTGAACTTCTTTCGCACCGTACGTAGCCAAACGTGCTTATCGGAGGTGCGGGAAATCACGGGCGACTGCAACCTAGAATGGAACCCAGGTTCTCAGAGTTGCTGCCTCATCGTGCCGATGTTTCTGACACCGGTATATTTAGATTTGTATACACACATATATAACTATCACGAATGTGGGATGCTGCCACAGTGGCGTACAAGTCAGCGATCCAGAGGTCACCGGTACGGTTCCATTTCCCGGCACCGCAGTTAAAACAAAGGTGCGAGTTTCTGAAATCCCCATGTCTCTGTTACACCCAGCAGCGTAAATGGGTGCGTGTGCGCGTACATACATTGAACTTCTTTAGCACCGTACATGGCCGACCGTGCTACTCGGAGGTTTGAGGAAAATACAAAAAAAAACTAAATCGGGTTGCGTGTGGTGGGCTAAAGTATGGGTACTCCAAACTCTTCCATAACATCTATCCGTCGTGGAAGAGTAGTCTAATGTACCCTCTAGAAGCGATCTCTAGAGCTCTCTCTAGTGGAGATGCTTCTGCTTGCAGTGGCGTAAGCAATTGCCTCCTGGGCTGCAATCCTTGCTTTTTATACAGTGTATATATGCAACCACCCTCTAGCCACTAGAGGCCGCTACATTCACAGTTTTATTGAAAAAAAGAGAGAAGAATGGATTCTTGAATATTCGACCACGGATGGCGACGGCGCGTTGGGATATACGAAGGGGAGTGGGAAGTGAATCGCTGCTGGCGAGGGGGTGTGGGAAGGCGGCATAGTTTTACAAAGCGGATAGGGTAATTTTCGTGCACAGCGCGAGTCTATTGCCCATCTTTTATAGGAGTGCTTTGTTGGCTGGTTGACATTTGGGCGGGTTTCCCCAGAACCCCCTCTCGTAAAGATCTACCGGCACAAATTGTAGAGTGTCGCATTCGGCAGCCTGTGGTGCGTTCGTGAAGATTGTGTTTTACCATCGGGCCAGTTTTGTTCAGGCGACGTCTCCGTTCCGTGATGCAGCGAACAGGCCGCATCAAAGACATCCACAATAGAGGGTTTTTTTGGGGTTAGATCGTGTAAATATATGAACGTGTCGCTAAACCCGCCACCACCCGACACAGCCACCAACCAGTAAGGGTTGCCACGTAAACAGAACGTGCCAATTCGTCACTAGTACAGCACACCCGTGCGTTGAAGAGCCAAGCCACATTTACAATCTGAGTAGAACTCGCTTCAGCACGTGACAGCCCTTACTAGTTGGTGATGGCGGGTTTAACGACATTTTTGCGATCTAACCCAAAAAAAACTTATGGATGATATTGGTCGCGAAAGCCTACGTTTTAAAACGCATCAAAGACCACAACAAAAACACAGACGCTACAAACATAATTTCTCCAATTAATATTATGGAACTTATTTATTATTAACCAACGTAGACTAGGAATGGGGTGGAGAATTTAGAGCGTGTCATCTGTCTTAATTTCATGTTAAAGTGATCGGGGTTTTTTTTACTTGCAGTCGTGTTGGCACCGGGCAGCTTGCTGACCCTTGACCTGTGAAGAGCAGATAATGGGAGGCAGCCTGGCTGGTGGCCTCACATTTTACTCCCCAGTTAAAAAAAAAACTTCTCGTGAAAGAAGAAGCAAAAAAACACAACAAGAAGAGAGCTTTGTTTCCAGCAGTTATGTCTCGCGATGTTTTAAAGGGTTCGAAGTTGTGTTTAGTCGAGCGCATCTGCAAAGTGTTTTAACCAATAAAGAGAATGCATTGTTGAAAAAGGTGCCTCCCACACCCACCCACCCACGCACCCACCCACCTTTCTGTGTTGTCTGAAATTTAGTCTTTATTAAAAAAAGAACAAACTTTTTTTCTTTTTGGTTCCCTCGGTCAACGTGTGAGCGGTGAAATTTTAACGTATATCCTTTCGCAAAGGGGATCCCACATAACCGAGCGGTTATTCTGCCTTTGGAGTTAAATCGTCTTTTAATTTTTCGCTACGATGGAGGGGCTGTTGTCTGTGATCGCTAAACGAGTCGTGAACAACAACAAAAACGCCTATGGTGGAAATTAGCGCTCCAAAATAACACGATGCATGACACTGGTGAGAGAAACTCGCATGTGATATTGACTAACCTGGGGGAGGATGGTCAAACAACCGCGGCACGGCATTGAGAGATCTTAATCCAGCAGTGTTTTGACAGAACGGAATATCATTATTAAACGTTATTAATGGTAGCCTGTTCGCTCAGTAACAGCCCTGTTTACTCTGTCCACACAAAACAGTTGACTCGTTTATGGCACGCTTGTAAATGTGCATAATTGACCGTAATGACAGGCAATTCAGCGCTCTGTATAAAGACCACAGAACGCCGGCTATTGTCAATAACAGCCGTCCAGCGTGGTGAAGTATGGTCAGCAGCTCCCGCCAAAATAATTTTCGAAAAAACTTTTTTCATGCGAAATGCCGGGGATGGCGCACGTGCCTTGTGAAACTTTTTTTTGTAATATAGAAAAAAAAATGTCCGAATAAGTAATATTGTAGGAATAGGTTTTACCCTTTTAACTGGCACAAAAACTGACACCTTTATTCAAGGCATCATGTTTGCAATAACCACAACACAAGCAGTCAAAATGCAAACAAAAAAGACAACTGATAATAATATGCACTGTCCTTGAATTTGATTGGTCCACACCCGAGACAGCTTTTCTTAGAGCCTAGTCTTTAAGAAAAAGCTGTCTCGGGTGTGGACCAATCAAATTCAAGGACAGTGCATATTATTATCAGAGTCCCCCACCGAGGCGCCCGAAGTTGTTTCTGAGGACCGTCGTCATCGGCCATGATCTATCCGCTGCCGAATTGAGGCCTTCCCAAGCGGTCCTCATCTCCCCAAGTCATCACCATCTAAGAAATCCACACACACACACTTTTGACAGGTATGCAGGCTTCAAAGCCTGCTTGACTTGTGAGATCCGTTGGAGATCGGGCCCATTCCGAGACATTAGTTCGAGTCTGCCATCGTAGGATACTAAGCCAATTTTGTGATTTTTTTTCTTTCAAGAAATTCAACCTGTTATTTGGCATCAATTAATGATTTAAAAAAAAATCCACCTCCGTGCGTTGTAGTCACTTATGAAATTAAGAATCAACGAATGCAATGAGTTTTGCGAGGCGAAGAGCGTGGGGCATTTGGGCTTGTGATGTAAACGAAATGCGCATGACCGCCATCCCCACTCCATCATCGCTAATTGGATTAAACAGCTCATTGCCCAGGGGGGCAATTCTCTGCGTCGCACCACACTCTCCACTGCCACTTTATACGCTAAAGTGTCGGCAAGTAATCCCATTTGCCGCGCATTAAACTCAACACATTCGCCAATAACATCGTGGCCTTGAACATGGGGGGGGGGGGGGGGGGAGGGGGGGATGCAATAGGCGACGTTTCGAACAATGGCCCTTCTGTATGGCGCAAATATAGAGACAGCACTTTACACCACGGGGCCTGATGAGAATTATAAAATGTATCTGATGGCCAGTTTTTTTTAATTGGCATGTGAATATTTCCCTCGTAAACATGTTTACTATCCAGTAAACGTGCAACGTTGGGTCAACGTATGGGCATATGGTTGGAACCGCTGGACCAACGTTTGCTCAACAACGTTTAAATGTTTACCGATCGGGCAGTAACGCTCTGGGCTTTGCCCCAGAACGTTACAGCTTCAACGAATCGGGGAAAACTTTAAAGTGGCGTTCAGGCATGGTCCGGTAATCACGATGCAGTTGACGGCCCTGCACCAGCTTGATGGGGTATGGTCAAACGTAATGAATATCCTTTGGTTCTTTCGGTAAAGTCACGTAGATAAAATAATCATAAAAGTACAGTAAAATAAATACTACGACGTTTCGATCACAACACAAGCGATCGTCTTTTTTTTACCTCCTGAAGACGATCGCTTGTGTTGATTATGAATTCCTGCAATCACGAAAGTTTTAAGTCAAAATGTAAAAAGTATCGTTTTCGATTAGGGGCCGTCCATACATGACGTCACACGATTTTTGACCCCCCCCCTCATCACGGCGTCACAAAAAGTCATACCCCCCCTCAAATATGACGTCACAAAGCTCTGCCCCCCCCAAATAAAACATGCTTCAAATCGCTTTAAACTATTGTCATTGTGGTGCGTATTTAATGTAGCGCTGCACTCTGATGTTGTAGGAGAAACATTTATTAAAAAGTCTATTTAATTAAGTAGAATGTGTTGTCTATATTTAATTAAAGTTGCGCATTATGATGTGACGTCACATTTCTCAAACCCCCCCTCGTCACACATCGTCACAAATGTCTGACCCCCCCCCCCCCCCCCGCTTGGTGCGTGATGTCATTTATGGACGGCCCCTTAGATCGTGTAAACATAGATGCGTCGCTAAACCCGCCACCACAAAATTAGTAAGGTTTGTCGCGTATGGGGAGATCATCCAGCAGGGGATCGTCAAAAGAGCCGACTTTTTGTAAGTTTGTATGAAAAGGGGTGGGGCTACAGAAAGACGTGCTCTCGTCAGCCGTTCTCTATGCACTGCTGGATGAAGACGCCAGTCTGCTGTAACTCTGTTGGTTGTAATTCGCGGGTCGTCTCAGTGAGCCGCTGTTGCTTTTTGAGACGCGGCCTCACCACCATCCCCTCACCACCATCACCTTCACCCCCACCAACATCACCCCCACCACCATCACCACCATCACCACCATCACCCACACCAACATCATCCCCACCACCATCACCACCCTCACCACCATTACCTCCATCACCACCATCACCCCCACCAACATCACCTCCACCACCATCACCTTCACCCCCACCATCACTCCCATCACCACCCCACCACCATCACCCCCACCACCATCATCACCATTACCACCCCCACCACCATCACCCCCACCACCATCACCACCATCACCACTACCCCCACCACCATCACCCCCACCACCATCACCACTACCCCCACCACCATCACCACCCCCACCACCATCACCACTACCCCCACCACCATCACCCCCACCATCATCACCCCCACCATCATCACCCCCACCATCATCACCCCCACCATCATCACCCCCACCATCATCACCCCCACCATCATCACCCCCACCATCATCACCCCCACCATCATCACCCCCACCATCATCACCCCCACCATCATCACCCCCACCATCATCACCCCCACCATCATCACCCCCACCATCATCACCCCCACCATCATCACCCCCACCATCATCACCCCCACCATCATCACCCCCACCATCATCACCCCCACCATCATCACCCCCACCATCATCACCCCCACCATCATCACCCCCACCATCATCACCCCCACCATCATCACCCCCACCATCATCACCTCCACCATCATCACCCCCACCACCACCCATCCACGCCAACCTCCTGGGGTGTACGCCCGCCCCCTCATTAAATAATAAGAGGGCGGTGCTATTTCCTTATTAGGAGTGGGGCGGGGAAGACGTACGGAAGCTTCTTCCTTATAAGGATTGAGGGGGGGGGGCGGTACATCTGAGTGAGGAGGCTCGTGAATGAACGTTTAGAGTCAGTCGTCCTCCAACAACGACGGAGGGCAGAGGAGCGACGCTCACAACGCCGAACGGAGACGGCAAACAAACAAAATGCAGCGGGTTCGGTGCATCTGCAGTCACGAAAGCTTCAAACCTAGAATCCTCAGTCAAGTCGACCCCATGTGGCGCCGCCTGTGGCCTTGTCCCGTGATCTCCTGGCCAGCGAGCCTTCGACGACTTTCATTGTGGCCTCAAAGTGCACCCTGGCCTGGCACGGGCGCCGTGGTGACACCGCCGTCACTTAGTGGCGGAATTGCGGCTGTTGGTATTGGGGGGGAATGGGTTTTTAAAAATTTAAGTAATGGGTGAGATGGGCGGGGCGATAATACGTGGGCGGAACTATTTCCTTATAAGGATCGAGGGGGCGGGGGGGATAACCCCGCCCTTAATAAGGAGTGAGGGCGGGGGGGTGATGCCCCCCTAAGAAGGAGTGAGAGGGCGGGGGATATGCAAATGAGTCTGGGGGGGTGTGGAGGCGGAGTTAGGGAAGAATGACAGCGAGAGTTGAGCGAAGCAGCATCGTGTGCGCATGCGCGGGAAATCTTTTCCCCGCCCTCTGCCCCCACCGCCCCCGCACCCCTCACATTCTCCCGCCCCTCAGCCCCCGCCACACACAGGACCCCGCCCCTCAGCCCCCACCACACACAAGACCCCGCCCCTCAGCCCCCACCACACACAAGACCCCGCCCCTCAGCCCCCACCACACACAGGACCCCGCCCCTCAGTGCTGCAGAGTGGCGGGAGAGGAGTGAGGCGAAGACGGAGCGAGGACGAGGAGGAGGATAACTGAGGAGGAGGATAACTGGGGAGGAGGAGGATAACTGAGGAGGAGGATAACTGAGGAGGAGGAGGATAACTGAGGAGGAGGATAACTGAGGAGGATAACTGAGGAGGAGGATAACGACAAGGATAACGAAGAGAAGAGGATAACGAGGAGGATAACGAAAAGGAGGATAACGAGGAGGAGGATAACGAAGACAAGAGAAAGGATAACGAGGAGGAGGAGGATAACGAGGAGGAGGAGGAGGGCGACTGCAGCCGGCACCGAACCTCCCCTCACGCTCAGCCGCCGCCGCCGCGTGCACGTACGGACGAGCGCTTTGGGAGCTGAAAAGGACAGAAGGGCCCCCCCGGGAGCTTAGGGGAAGACGAAGAAGACACCGGGGAGGGAGGAGTGAGAGAGCAGAGCCCTGGACGCGGGGCGCGTGCAGGAGCCGAGCCCACAGCGCTCGGGCTCCCACGGGCGGCGGTCGTCATGAGCTGGGGCACCGAGCTGTGGGTGAGTGGCCGGGAACCCCTTGGGGTGGACGCGGGTCGGGGGGGGGGTGGACGACGTCGGCTCCTGTGCGTGCGCGCGCGTGTGTGTGTGTGTGAGAGAGAGAGGTGGAGAGAGAGATGGAGAAGGGTTATGAAGGTGGACACTGGTCGAAGTGGACGCTGGTTGAGGTGGACAGCTCCCGCGTGTGAGGGTTGAGGTGGACACTGGTCGAGGTGGACACTGGTGGGCACTGTTTTGGGTGGACGCTGGTTGAGGTGGACAGCTCCTGAGTGTGAGGGTTGAGGTGGATACTGGTTGAGGTGGACACTGGTTGAGGTGGACACTGGTTGAGGTGGACACGAGTTGAGATGGACAGCGCCTGGGTGTGAGGGTTGAGGTGGACACTGGTCGAAGTAGACACTGGTGGGGACTGTTTTGGGTGGACGCTGGTTGAGGTGGACAGCTCCCGGGTGTGAGGGTTGAGGTGGACACTGGTTGAGGTGGACACTGGTTGAGGTGGACACGAGTTGAGATGGACAGCTCCCGGGTGTGAGGGTTGAGGTGGACACTGGTTGAGGTGGACACATCCTGTGTGTGTGAGGGGTGAGGTGGAACCCAGGTCGGGGCGAGAGGAGGCAGGAGGGGGTTGACCTTTTGTATTTTGCGATGTGCGGGCGTCTCTGAGGCTAACGGTGACCGCGCTTCGCCTCTCAGCCCGACATACTCCGGTTGGATTACAGGCGACGGCACAACATTGATTAGCTAGTTGTAATTACTGGCGAAACGTCGTACTCAGATTGTAAATCGTTGTGGCTTGGCTCTCCAACACACCGGTGTGCTGTACTAGTGACTAATTGGCCACGTTCTGTTTACGTGACAAACCTCACTAATTGGCTGTGCCGGGTGGTGGCGGGTTTAACGACACATTTAAATATTTACGCGATCTAACCCGGAAAAAAACCTCTTATGGACAGTTAGTATTTGGCCTTTCGGATTCTTAAAGCAATAGATTACTCCAACCGAGTATATATTCGATTATTCGACTAACGTGATTATAGCCTAATACAATGAAAAGAGATGGCCAGTCAACCGCGCTGAATTAGAATTTTACAAATACGGTACTGTAATGAACCACCCCACGTCCCCACCCATCTGTGGGATAATTATGAGTGCGTGTTGTTCACAAACGCGATGTTGTTCAACCTGATGGGCACCTAGAGGGCACGTCACGGCCAGGGAGGTGACGGATGGTAGATTAATCAAAGCATCTCTGATGGAAGCCCGGTTGGCAATTGACGGTGTGAAGGAAGTTTCAACGGTACGTCGCGTGCATACCGATGGATATTAATGACGCTAGTGGCAAGTCACATCCAAGCACTGTCCAGGCACAAATAACCTGCTTGGCTTACTTCACAAGGTCCATAGCAACAACAACAGCAACAACAACAACGCAACACTATGGTCAATAACACACTGTGGATTACATACTATTTGGTTCTTTCGGTAAAGTCACGTAGGTATAGAATAATATAAAATAATAATATAACATAATATTTTATACCTACGTGACTTTACCGAAAGAAGCAAAGATTATGGATTCCTGCAGTCACGACTCACGAACGCTTCAAATCTCGATTGACACTGTGGATTCATTTAAATAACGGGCGACGTGGGCAATGCGCCTTCTGTCACAGCACACGTCTGATGGTATCGGGTGATGAGGTTGATACTGGACATTTGTGAAGAATATTTTATAGCCCATCGCACTCCAGCATAAATTACATATTCCGATTCTCACCGGGAATGGTCAGGCGCATTTAAATGTCAGCAGTTGGTTCGGGTGGTGTGCAGGAATGCTTGTTGATGTGACATTATGGCATGCGGCCTGTGATTTGCACGGCAGGTTACCCACCCCTCATATATAATGTTTGTGGATACCAGATCCCTTGCTATACCCGTCTTGTATAGATCTCTGAGACCCGCTGACTGTCGCATGCCTCGTGGCCGTGTCGTGTCACCTGCCGCTTGGTTTCTCCCGGCTGCGCGTGGGTGTTGTGATGACGCACACCGTGTCGGGGAGGCCCTCATCCAGCAGTGGATAGGCCACGGCCGATTGCATCGACGATCTATGTCTAGAGCGGTGTTCTTCATTGCAAGGGCCGCGGGGCCACTGGCGGCCCCTGGTGGCCTTTAGTGCGGCCCCTGGCGTGCGGCCCTCCCGACAAATACACAGAATGTCAAAGAAGCACCCCTTGTACTGTTTTCTGAGTCAATGGCCAGGCCTCCTGCGATTGTTGTGCTCAAATCGCCCCCATGTCTCACCACCTACACCTGACGACCCTGCCCACAGTAGACAGGGCAGCTTCGGCACACCGGTCACACGAGCGGCAGCTTGGAGAACATGAGCAGCGCGCGCCTCATGTCCACCGCCACGGTCGCAAGACGCCGCGACTACGGCACGCGCCATGTAGATCCCCGTTACAGCAACGGGCAAGCACGCAAGCGCCACATGCAGATGTTAGTAATGTACGTACGCGTATGTTGAACTTCTTTCGCACCGTACGTAGCCAACCGTGCTTACAATTAATTGGAGGTGCGGGGGAAAGGACAACACGGGTGCAGGATGGAGGATAGTTAGGGTAAGCAACTTGTAGGTTAGGAATAGAACGTGGCAGGAAAGTGCGGGTGATGTAGTAAGGAAGAGGAGGTTGTGATGGGTGGGGCACGGGTGCAGGATGGAAGAGGGAAGGCTACCAAGACAGGAATTGAAGTGACGCCAGAGGTCAGCGACTCACGGGGAAGACCTAAAGCCAGATGGATGGCGGTGAGTGTGCTGAGACTGCAGAAGCAGCCCTTGAACATTGGGTGTGCGACTTGGTAAGCAAAAGGAAGAAAGCGATGGCTATAATTGCGGTGGCATCACCACACACAGCGTTGTCTGCGTATGACCCCTCCTGACCTTGGGTGAGCCGACGATGTCCATTTCCGAATGATGAGCACGGGAGGGGGACATCCCCTGCGGGGAAATGGAGTGAATAATTCGGCTTGCCCTGTGTGTTTACATTCCACACGGTGCTCTACACCTGTATATCGTGTGGTTGTGTGTGTAGTACTTGCCCCAACTGTCTGTTGAGGCTATATGCGGGAATTTTGTCTTTGTGCAGGCAAGCAACACCAGCTTCCCCCAACCTGCATGACTCCGTTTTGAGCCAGTGATATGCAGCCGCTCACGAACATGTAAAATCCATTAAACTTGCAGCGTACATTTTCAACCCGCATAAAATAAAAAATGAGCGAATCAGCAGTCCTTCTCTTCTCCTTCACTCCTCTGCTGCCCCCCTCCCACCACTGTGTGAAACTCCCCCCCCCACCCAGCCGTTCGTGCCGTCGACTCCCTTGCCGTGGCTTAAGGCCAAGCTCGGAGTTGTTTAGCTCTGTGGATTCACATGGTTCGGATTATATACGTGAGCCCCTGATTACGTGTGAAACGTACAGTAATTTATTTTAATCATAGCCACATGCAGTGTGGGCTCGAGAAATGTGTGACGTGCAACGGGCATCCCTTGAGCACGCGTGCAAGAAGAGTAGGCCAAACTCCTCCGATTCTGAAATCGAATCGCTGACCGAGAATCGTGGAAATTCATCAAAAGACTATGGAGGAAGGAGGAGGGGGGGGGGTGATGTTTTTGTTTGCGATGCGGGTTGAGCGGTGGCGCAGCGGTTATTGCACTGTGCCATGAACCCTGTGACCTGACTTTCGTTTCCTCACCACGGCCAACATCAGTTTGGGGGAGCGATATCTGAAATGGTCTTGGGTACTCTCCCCCACATCCCTTTCATCAGCCCGCACTGACCTGCGTGGTGAAGTATGGTCAAACAGCTTCCATATGAACCAAGCGTGGCATGGGAAGGCCTTCATCCAGCAGTGGGTTTACAAAGGGCTGTACATTTTTATTATAATCGCATGTTTATTGTTGAGCGGTGGCTAAGTGGTTAGCTCGCTGCGCTACGAAGCCGGAAACCTCGGTTCGATTGGGGGTAATGGCTAACTAACAGCCCTCGCTGATCAGCGTTGTGAAGTATGGTCTACTGGGGATATCTGTGAAACTACTGGACAACTGTAAAAAAGAGCTTTAGAGCGCATTGGATTCCTGGTCAAACAGCTCCGACATGAACCAACCGTGGCATGGGGAGTTCCTTCGTTCAGCAGCGGACTGACAACTTCCCGTAAAAACGAATAACACGAACATGCACCGCCCAGCGCAGTGTGTCTCGAATAACTTGTCGCTGGGCCCATCCTTATGAAAGCATCGATTAAAAAGGGAGGGGAGCCGTAAATTTCCCACTTTATGGGGGTTTCTTCCCTCCTTTGTTCAGACTCCAGGAGGAGCTTTTCCACACGGAGCAGGGGAAATTCATGGCCTCTCTGAAACGTTATTTATTATTGCTCCTGAGTGAGAGGCGGGCCCTTGAGGGGGCGTCGGGGTGGTGGGGGCGCGGGCGGGTGGGAATTGGTGTTGCTGATCAATTGAGACACATTGCTTAATTCCATCAGTCAGGCCTCATGCCAGAAAGCGTGGGTAGTAGTGCCCAGGACCGGTCCAGATTATCCCTCGCCGTCGGTGTTAACCGTGTCGCGAGGTTATCTAACAATTTGTTTTATTTTACCAGGAAAGGCCCACTGAGCTATGTAGCTATTTTTCAGAAGCGACCTGGCCATTACAAATGATAGCTCAAAGAAGTGGCTCATCACGTGGAAATTTACAGCAGCCAAATACTCTAAACGCGTGTTTCTAAATGTGGAGGGAAAAACAGGCGGCCCAGGAGAACAATCCACACTTCCATGTGGAGAACACGCAAACTCCAAATATACAGGCTTCAGGGTCGGGATCGAACCCACTACCTCTTGTATACCTGGCGAGGTAGTTAACATCTCGCCACCGTGGCGCAGTGCACTAAATCAGCAATGAGCAGTGAGGTGAAGTATAATTAAAGAACTCCCACGACCGAAAGGCTTGGGG